GATCTGACAAGGAGCATGAACGTTGTTTGTGACCCAGACTTCCAAATCACAACCGAAACTTGCGTAATGACTCTATTTAAATTGGATCAGTCCACGAAAATACATACTATAGCCCCATTGCAGATGCTCTTGGAGAGAAGCCCTGAACACATCCGCGCGGCAAGAACGCGCACCAACATCTGAGTAACATTCTGTGCACGCTGCACGTTGGTCTCCATATGTGAGAGCGCGAAACATACGATCTTGGTCCACCAGCTTTCGGAGAACGCGCCCCGACTTGTCGCGATTCGGGATGGTGAACGGTCGACTAGTCACTAGTCGACTGCACGATTCTGCTGGAGGTGTGGTATGCCCAGCAAAGCCAAACTCTGAAAAGGATCTGAAAAGGTATGCCTACAGAAGCGTCCGACCCTCCGGCCTCACTCCCCGGATCCGACTGGCAAAAGGCGGTGCCGAATCTGCAGCGTTTGAAGCTGAGGAGGCCATGTGGGATGTGGGAATGGATGTGGGATACTGGGGCTATCTGGGGCTTTTGAAGATGGAGTGCCCAAGCTTCTGATGAATTTGCTGGGTGCTGCCGTAAAGGCTGCCATGAACAAAGCTTTGTCCACCATCCTGGACACGAGACCTAAAATACACGCCGGGGATTGCTGGAAGAGCTCGGAAGTCTCGGAGACGGCAAGACGTCTGCGACTCCTCACAACAATAGGAATTTTCAGGCTGCTAGCATTCCAGGTTTGTCAACAGCTACGCGTGCTCCATGACCTTGGACAGAACCAAATGATTCATGCAAGTCCTCTGCGCACTCTGATAGCCCTTCTGGAAGACCTGCGGCAATCATCAGCTTGGATGAAAGCTCGGTTTTTGGTCTCGGCCTACATCACCAGCCACCAAGAGCCGTATGAAAACCTGAATACTCACTGGTGCGACACAGGCGTTTCATCTCCCAGTACTACGTAAACATCAGAGTTTCCATTTAAGGTATGAAATGAAGCATTGGTGCTTATCTGATGTCGCTGCTTCCCAACTTTATTGTTGATTTTCTGGAGTTGCCTTTGAAATTCACCAAATCCAGTGGAATGCCATCCAATGCTCGGAGAAGAGCGAGGGAATTGATTTTTGACAAGTGGTATGTGCCGAGCAAGGAGGTGTCTCGTGTCAAAACGGTGAGGTGCAAGAAAGCACAGCGAAAGCACGGCGAAAGCACGGCGAAAGAATGGCGAAAGCACGGCGAAGGCATGTCGAATCATGCCCGCCCCCCCCCAGTGGACTCCCGAAGTGACCAAGGTCCCCGAGACTCCTTACAAGCATCTTTGGCAACAGAGCAACTTTGGGGCAACTTCGGAGCAGCTTGAAGGCTCTCAGAGGACGGGCGCCTCGGCAGCAACCAGACCTGCGATCCTCAGAGAGGTCGGAAGCCCTCAAACAGAGCCAGAGTCAGAGGGACCCTGTGAACTAATCCGAAACCAGCCGAAAGAAAACGGAAAAGCCTTGACAACCTACAACCCGGGAGACCGTCCAGAATCCTGCCCCAGCAAGACAACGTCTCAGCTGTTTGTGAAGCTGCGCGCGATGCGCGGCTGTTCTCCACAGTGCTAGGAGCAAGGCGACTTCACAGCATCATAAAGGCGGTCCGACGCAGAAATCGCATTGGCGTCTCCTGACTATGTCTATCTATCTACCACTGCTTGCCACCAGAGGTATTTCTCTTTCAACACATGCGCACTGCAGCCCGAAGGGCTCTGATGGACGGCGCTACTGGGCTGTAGGTCCCGATTTCTAGGGAAACGCAAAGCATCACTTAACCGTTGCAAAACTTCGGTTCCTGCAATGCTTCCTCTCAATGCGCTCCATCCGAAAGCAGGCACAAACCAAAGCCTCAACAAACATAAATTTCCACAGCAGGCTACCACATAGGCCGCAAGTTTGAGCTATGCTGAAGCAGGAGCGGGGAGCATCCACAAGCCACAGGGATCGGGCCTAAGGGAAGGTGACAAAGTATCGGAGCTGAAAGTAAGGCGACTCAAAGATCCACAAACGGTTCCATAACAAGATTACATTCAAAAAACATTGAAGAGCTTAACAATTCCCGGCCAAGCTAGCACCGTTCGTGAAAAGTGAATAACACATGCTTGCAGCTGCTGGCATCCCCTCCCACTTCTCCCCTGCATGCTGGGAAACATCTGGAAACATCCGTGCGTCTACACACGCGTGGCGACTACGAGGAGCAACAGTCCTGGCCACGAGAAGTCAGCGAAAGCTATGGCTTCCGTTGCCGGATCGTAGAGGACCTGATGGATCACTGATGGATCACCTCTGAAAGCAACGACAGCGAACGACAGCAAGTATTGATTACCGGAAGGCTTTTTGATGTGTAAACGATTCTGCCCCACACCTCCAAACCCATCGAGCACCCTTAAACCCGAACTGGGGGCAAGGCATTTCCTGGTCTCAGTTGCAGGTGCGCGCTCGGTGAACCCTGCGGAGCTCTGACCAGATGAACTGACGCATTTTGACAGCACTTGTGGGATAGTTCACCCATGTTCACCCACATGATTCCAAAGAAATGATGAAATAATACCTGCCGTCATGCATGGACGCGCGTACCCCACAAGACAGTTTATGAGGATTGCCTTGCATTCAGCAACGGGACGTAGATGTTCGTGCCTTGCTTTTCTGGCTCGAATTGATCTTGGGTTCCGGTCCTCGTCGGCCTCCTTGCGAACCACGTACCGTGCTAGGACGTCCGACAGCGTCTCACCGATCTGCCAGCAGCAGCACACGAAACCACCGTCACAGTTTGCCAAGTTGAGGGCCAAGAGCCCTCTGTACGGAAAACACTTTCAATCTCGATTGCCGTTCGGGCTAGCATTTCGAGGTCAAACGGAAGCAGCCGCTGTGGAAAGCTTCGCAAGCTTCGAGAAGTCTCGAGCCAGCGTGCTACAACGCATCAAGTTCGAGGGGCGAAAGACGCCCATTTAGCCCCATTTGCGGCACCCTCAAGCAGGAAGGCTAGCTGCCATGAGTTGCCCCGGTGAACCTTGTGCAGAACCTTGTGAAGCTTCGCCTCCCAGCTCATCCCAGCAGTCGAGACGCATCTGCTGGGTCACTGAGACTACATTGATTTTGCCAGTAGCTCTAGGCCGCTCCTCGTCCTCTGTCGTGGTCTGGTCCAAGGTGGTGGCATACCTGTGCTGCTTTGAGATGCAGAGGCTGCGCTAGTGCGCTGCACAACATTCAGGACCGGCTGACAGTCTCACATGCGTTGGCTTCCAAAACATGGATTCTAAGATTCTAAGCCACAGCTATCCACAGCTGTCCGCGCACTGCTCGAGGGTTGTGCGGCACGGACAGTCAGCCACCAGCCTTGGCGGCATGCTGAAAAAACTATCAACACCATGGTGTCATCGCACATGAACCGAGCCAGATGAGCAGTCAACCCCACCGCACACACACACACACAAGAAAAAAAACCTTTCCCCAGTTGACAACAGCCACTGGCCAGTTTTTCAGCCCACCTGGAAGCACAGCGGATGAGCGTCTGGCAGGCTTCCCAGCTGCTTCTGGTTTGCCTGGCGGCTCCACTCTCGGAAAACTTTGTGGATCCCAGCTCTGAAAGCACCAAACGCAAACCCTCCTTCCATTTTGACCCCAAACTTTGTTTGGTCCTGAACGTTCCCGAACCCTCCAGCACTGATTTGCCCTGAGAGTCCTGAAGGGGGATTGCAGAGTGCGGGAACGCCAGCTCGGTATCTTCCAAGACCTCGGGGCACCTGATGTCGTTTTTGCATTCAGGGCGCCCTTGGTTTTGCATGCTTCCGACGGCTTCTGCATTTTTGTTCGCGGCTTGCACGTTCCATCCTGAACCTAGCCGCCAGCCGCTAGCCACGACATGTGGAAGTGGCCCCGTTTCAGCTCATGAGATCCACTGTGCTCTCATTCCACTGTAGGGTGCCACACTGCCGGATAAACTCCTCGCATCGCTCTGCAAAAAGCGTGCCCGCCTGTCAGAGGGGGGGGGGGCTAGTGCACTTGACGTGGCGGATCACTCACTGTTGCTGCAAAAGTTGAAAACCTGCAAGACAGTGCTCAACTCTGCCTGCTGCACAACCCAGCACTCGCTCGTGCTGCCCTGGCACAGCACCCAAGCCTGTCTCAAGGATCATAGCTTAAATTCTGTGAACATTGGGAATCAGGGAAGCATTAAAGTAAGAAACATACAAACAAAAACAAAACACGACAACGCAAACACTACATAAACAAAAATAGGAAGCCCTGGAAGGACTTGTTTGCTTCATGGTTTTCCTAAACAAACTCAAAACAAAAAGTGCAAGGCCCGCCAGAGGCTCGGTGGTTTCCTTCCGGGGACCTGTGCTTGAAAAATGAAATGAGCGCAGAGTACTTTGGGACTGAATTTGGTACTTATTGTTTTTTGCGCTTGAACCCTTTGCTTCGTCTAGGATTTCCTATATGTATGCAGGGGGGAAATCTTTTCCTATTTGAAAAATAAATGCAGTGAGTGAGTGAGTGAGTGAGTGAGGAGCGGCCTGAAGGCCTTGCCTAAGGCACTGCCCCTCCCAGCCTCACAGGGGGCTAGGGGGCTCCGGAACCGTCATCGCCCCCTCCACTTGGAGTTCACACTGGCCCGGCGTCCCGGGCTCCGTAACGGGCATTGCCCGGCAAACAAAAAGGGAGGAGGGGGGGGGGGGGGGGGGGGGAGGGAGGGAGCGAGCATCCTTAACTAGCATCCCTACAGCGTCAACACCCCGGCCAGCCATAAGCTCAATCTGGCGGTAACATGCGGTAACACCTTGCCGAGAAGTAGCGGGGGCAAATGGAATCATTTCTACCAACAGGAAGACCGCCCGGCCGGCGACGAGCAGTGGCACCAGGCCCAAGCTGCTGGCTACTTGGGTGCCCGTGCGGGGCCTGTGGCACTGCTGTGCGGGGCCTGGTGCTGCTGGCTACTTGGGTGCCCGTGCGCCCCCTGGTGCTGCTGGCTACTTAATTTCCTCTGCGGGGCCTTGGATCGTGCGGGCCTGGTGCTGCTGGTTTCTTGGGTGTCCGGGCACCCAAGTAGCCAGCACCAGGCACAGGCACCCAAGTAGCCAGCAGCACCAGCAGCACCAGGGGAAATTCAAGTAGCCAGCAGCACCAGGCCCCGCACGGGCACCCAAGTAGCCAGCAGCACCAGGCCCCGCACGAGCACCCAAGTAGCCAGCAGCACCAGGCCCCGCACAGGCACCCAAGTCGCCAGCAGCATCAGGCCCCGCACGGGCACCCAAGTAGCCAGCAGCACCAGGCTCCGCGGGCGCCCAAGTAGCCAGCAGGCCCCGCACGGGCACCCAAGTAGCCAGCAGCACCAGGCCCCGCACGGGCACCCAAGTAGCCAGCAGAACCAGGCCCCGCACGGGCACCCAAATAGCCAGCCGCACCAGGCCCCGCACGGGCACCCAAGTAGCCCCGCGCAGACCCAAGTAGCCAGCAGCACCAAGTGGCCAGCAGCACCAGGCCCTCGCACGGGCATTCATGTAGCCAGCAGCACCAGGCCCCGCGCAGCACCAAGGCCCCGCGGGCACCCAAGTAGCCAGCAGCACCAGGCCCCCCGGGCACCCAAGTAGCCAGCAGCACCAGGCCCCGCACGGGCACCCAAATAGCCAGCCGCACCAGGCCCGCACCAGGCCCCGCGGGCACCCAAGTAGCCAGCAGCACCAGGCCCCGCCGCGTCGTGAAAAGCGCAAGGGCAAGTGCTCGCAAGCACTAGTGTGGGTTGGTCCGCCTCTGGCGCACCAGTAGTCACACGCGGCCAATCCGTGCGACGGCGCCCCCCCTGAGCCTACCACCCGCGGTGGCCCCACACACAGCTCGGGGATAAAGGACATGCAAGTTTTCTTTTTCAGCTCGTTCACAGACATACGCTCGTCCGTTGCAGACACCATCACTTCTATGACCGACACGGACAGATGTTTGTGACCGGTCCGAGGCAGTCACTGAAGCAGGCCACAGCGGCTATAGATAGTGGCACGGAAAGAAAAAGGGTCAGGCAGAAGGGGACGGCGGCACGTTTGCCTAGGCGCACAAAAAACAGTCGTGAGTGCCCCGGACAGGCAAATAGCCGAAACAAAGTGGCGCTTTTATTGCCTCCTACACGACTTTGGCAGCTCTACCTACACCTGCAAGCTTCTGAGCAAAAGGGCAGCCCTTGAGGGCGCAGATTGGGTGCTACAATTGCTTCTGACCGAAACAGCTGGGCCTACAAGGCGCTGATGTGATTCTAGTTGCTTGCGCTGACAGTAGCTGTTGTTTTTTACTTGTTTCTGTTGTTCTTTCTCTCTCTCTCTCTCTCTCTCTCTCTCTCTTTATTTCTAACCATCTTTCTTTCTGATATTCTTCCTATCTCTGGTTTCATCCTTCTTTCTTCATAGGAACACTTCCATTTCCTTCACAGTTAGAGAGGATTTAGAAGTCTCCTCTACGAGCATGTTTAAATAATGTTTCAATAGGAAACCGTACACAAAAAAGAGGACCAAAACGCAGAAAACAACCAAACATAATTCAGAAAAAGAGATCCAACAGCATCCACTGCCACACGGTCAAAACACAGATTTGCTAGATGACGAGGCCCACTACTCTGACACAGATTTGTGATGATCTGCGCATACAACCCATGCCCGGTAAGATGAATGCTGGACTGCTCCCACATGGGTGTGTCCCCGTTTATACCCCAAAAAGAATATAGAATCCCCTTAAAGGGGCCCCCCAAAAGGGTGCCCCCATTTTCGGAAAGCCCCACATCAACTCAGGGACCCGCGCCTTTGCCCGCGGGGAGAGCGGGATCAGCTGCGGCTCACACGCGCGCGAGGGCGACAGCATGAAGGCCTGAGGAGTTGCCCACTTGGGGTTTGCGATAATGGGCGTACCTTAATTATTGGGGTCCTTATGACAAAGGGATCCTACTATTTGGGGGGATACGAGAATGGGGGGCACCCTCTTTGGGGGTTTCTATAAAAAAATTATAGTATTTGGGGTATATTCGGGGTACCCCTATTTTCGAGAATGCCCATTTGGTCGAAGACTACGGAGCATGTCACAGCAGCCTCGGCGCATCGGAACATTTAGCGTCTGACCTCCGGCCGCTGAGAGTGCGGCCAAGGTTGTGAGGTGCTTGTCCGGGTTAAAGCCGGACCTGTCTCAGCGAAGAGTAATGTTGAAACAAGCACCCAGCACCCTCGACTTGAACGATGTCAAAGGTCTATGCTCCAATCGTTGCCAAATCGTTGAATCTTGCAAGGGCCCGCGATCATCCCGGCCCTTCCCAAGTACTTCGAGCGCCCGGCTCCGGAACTGCCTCAGGGATCTCACAGCTAAAGCTGAATCCCAAAACCGGGGCTGGGGATCAGGGTCAAAGGGCGTTTCCTTGCACAGCAACTGAAAGTCGGGTGGTCAGTTCTCTAGATTATGATCCCTTCTGGGGAACCAAACAGAACGAAGATCACTGCCCGAATGATGGCCCCACTGCGGCACCACCAGATACCCACCCAAAGCGTCAAGCTAAAGAAAGAAGCGAATCACGCCGTGACAAGAGACGACGAGCCAGGAGCTGAAAACGGCAGCCGGTTGCGTTTTTCACTTATTACAGACAACCAAGACCAAGACTTACATTGTCACTCTTGGCCCTTTTGGCCCTCAGTTCATGATCAACGCGCACTTGGCATCCTAACTTCACAGCAACGGCCATGAAATCTAGAGAGGCTGCACAGGGGCACCGCGATGGCGAAGGAGATGCAAAAGCGCATGGGAGTGCGTAGGAGCGCAAAGTATGTCCGGAGGTCATTCGAAGGTTGTCAAGACGCCCAGCGTGACTCTCCAGGGCGGGAAGGAGCATCAGACGGCTTCCAGGTCAAGGACCTACGCCATAACGGCACAATGATGGCAATGTAGGCACTCACAAAGTTTTCGGTGTGGGCGCGCCTAAGACCTTTGGTGGGGACCCGCGTGTGACGCGCGCTGATGCGATAACCAAGAAAGTGCCACCACTAAGCCCGATTGAACAAGCCAGAGTTGCCGAAAGGAATCCAAATTAGGTTTTAGGGCTTGGGTTCAGGGTTTCGGGTTTAGGGCAAATAGTCAGTCGGAGAAAGCTGTTCTCCAGAAAATTGAGTCAAAGAAAACTGTCCCGGATGTGTTCGGTCGTCAGAGACCTCTGCTTTTCATTGTCCCCGGCCACCTGAGGCGCCGGGAACCGGGCCGCCTAGCGAGAAAATGAAAGACTTCACTGGCTCTCGGCAAACTAGTCGCTACCACTCCACTAAATTGAATATTAGTATGCAATAACCATTCGAGGCATCCGATTTGACGCACACAAGAGCCCTCCTTTCGAGTCTCCGACCAGCAAGGAAAGCATCTTGAAGCTCCCGGCCGCCCGCGTCGGCGGAGCTGGCAAGTGAAAGGATGGCCTCAGGCCAAAGGCCAAGTCTCTGTACGCAACAGGGGGGATGTCAGGTATGCATCATCGACCATTCCCGCTGGCGAATGCAAAACGCTGTCACGGCAGTTTTAGATGCGCTGGATGCTGACTCAGCATCTGCTGCTTGCCAACATCACAGGTGAATCTAAAGATTAGCTGATTAGCATGTCTCCATACACACCCGAGCCACTATTCTGTTCTTGAAAAAGCTCGAGATGCGCCGTCGACGATAAGCTCCAAGCACAGCCCACATGGCATCGGTGCTGCTTGCCTCAGCATGTGAGAGCACCTACGAGAGACTGCACAATCTTACATGCTTGGACGGCGCTGAGGCCGGGGCCACTGTTGACTTGCTGCAACTTCTGTCAGTCTTGCAGGCGCTGGTCTTGGCCATAGCGAGATACCTAAAATCAAGAGCACACATGCGAAGTTGCAGCAGTCCAGCAGCTCACATGCCAGACCTGTTGGCAAGACCTGTTGCGAAGACACGTTGGGGAGGCCCGTTGGGGAGACCGTTGGGAGACTCGTTGGGCAGCCGGTTGCGTCCCAGGCAAGACTGACGCGCGGGCCGGTGTCGGAACGCCAAAGCGTAGCGCTCGCCCGCCATTCCGAACATCAGCCTGAAACCAAGAAGTGATCCACAGCGAGTTTAGTTTATACTGTGAAGTTCATAAGGGCGGGTAAGGCTCGGAAGTTTGGTATTTAACTGTTCACACTTTAGAGCGACGTTCGCAGAAGATTCTCGCATTGATTGGATTGGGGCACGTTTTCTGGTCACACGATTGAGTCGGGCTGAGGTCACAGGAATGGGCCTCTCGAATTTCTCGACGTCGTCGCTGGCTCCAGGATTTCCCATTCCCGTCAAGTCTACGATGCCTCCCATGGCCAGGCAAATTGGCTGGCAGCAGAGGGGGGGGGGGGGTAACCAAAAATTGACGCAAGGCAGCCCGGTGTAAGTGACGCCGAGATTAACAGCTGGCAGAGATGACGATGATGGGCAAAGCGATTGAAAAAAGCATAGAGGAAGAGTCGACCAGAGCATCTGAATGGGACTTTAGGCTCAACTCCGGGGGCAGCACTGAGAGTCCCAGTCTTCCTTGGGCAGCCAACGCAATGATGTGATGCTGAGTCTTCAGTCTTGAGAGGTGTGCTGTTCGGCGAGCAACCCTGCCAAATAGAGAACTCCATTAGATTCCTGGGCTCGAGATCGATGAAGGGATGCTTCCGTACCAGCCAGCTGGCAGCTGAGATGTCCAAACATCTGCCACTGAGGTCTTGGCTTCTCGTAGAGAACATTGCTGGGGTGAAAATCTGTGTGGTAGGTGGCCTGCAGCTGCTTGAGATTTTAGGACAGCCTCGTTTCCAGTGAGTCACCATGGCATCATCATAGGGTCATCATGAGCAGTCTTGCCTCATGTAACACTGAGACCAGCCTCGCCGGTGACCGGGTCAGCATACCGGGCATGGAAGTCTGCCAGCATCTCGCCGACCCCTGCCAAGAGCTCATGTTTCAAGGCTATAGGGTCGTACGCTGTCATGGTCACCATGGTGAGGTTCAGCTACTCCAATCATGAGCAATACCCGCACCACGCCACAAGCCGGCATCAGCCGCCCAGGCCCAGCATCATGAGCATCACCCACCCAGGCCCCCTCACTCAGTTTCAGTAGGACTCCGTTAGAGTTGTGGTAACCTGAGGTAGTTGTCATCTTTGCGTGCTCTCGTCCGCGATTGGTCCCGCATCCATGCATTGCTGTCTCGAATACATCTACCGTCAGGTAGCTAGCTTTTGGTGGTGGCTTTGAATGCTGAGGGCCCGGGCGGCTGATGCTCATGATCCTCGCCCGCTTGGCTTGAATGCTGAGGGCCCGGGCGGCTGATGCTCATGATGCTCGGCTTTGAATGCTGAGGGCCCGGGCGGCTGATGCTCATGATCCTCGCCCGCTTGGCTTGAATGCTGAGGGCCCGGGCGGCTGATGCTCATGATGCTCGCCCGCTTGGCTTTGAATGCTGAGGGCCCGGGCGGCTGATGCTCATGATCCTCGCCCGCTTGGCTTGAATGCTGAGGGCCCGGGCGGCTGATGCTCATGATGCTCGCCCGCTTGGCTTTGAATGCTGAGGGCCCGGGCGGCTGATGCTCATGATCTCGCCCGCTTGGCTTGAATGCTGAGGGCCCGGGCTGATGCTCATGATGCTCATGATGCTTTGGCTTGGCTTGAATGCCCCGGGCGGCTGATGCTCATGATGCTCGAATGCCCGCTGATGGCTTTGAATGCTGAGGGCCCGGGCGGCTGATGCTCATGATCCTCGCCCGCTTGGCTTGAATGCTGAGGGCCCGGGCGGCTGATGCTCATGATGCTCGCCCGCTTGGCTTTGAATGCTGAGGGCGCGGGAGGCTGATGCTCATGATGCTCGCCCGCTTGGCTTTGAATGCTGAGGGCCCGGGCGGCTGATGCTCATGATCCTCGCCCGCTTGGCTTGAATGCTGAGGGCCCGGGCGGCTGATGCTCATGATGCTCGCCCGCTTGGCTTTGAATGCTGAGGGCGCGGGCGGCTGATGCTCATGATGCTCGCCCGCTTGGCTTTGAATGCTGAGGGCCCGGGCGGCTGATGCTCATGATGCTCGCTCGCTTGGCTTTGCATCCTGAGGGCCCGGGCGGCTGATGCTCATGATGCTCGCCCGCTTGGCTTGAATGCTGAGGGCCCGGGAGGCTGATGCTCATGATGCTCGCCCGCTTGACTTTGAATGCTGAGGGCCCCGGACGGCTGATGCTCATGACACTCGCTTTGAATGCTGCAGGGAATGCTGAGGGCCCGGGCGGCTGATGCTCATGATGCTCGCCCGCTTGGCTTTGAATGCTGAGGGCGCGGGCGGCTGATGCTCATGATGCTCGCCCGCTTGGCTTTGAATGCTGAGGGCCCGGACGGCTGCTGCTCATGACGCTCGCTTTGGATGCTGGGGGCTCGGGCGGCTGATGCTCATGATGCTCGCCCGCTTGGCTTTGAAGCCTGAGGGCCGGGCGGCTGATGCTCATGATGCTCGCCCGCTTGGCTTTGAATGCTGAGGGCCCGGGCGGCTGATGCTCATGATGCTCGCCCGCTTGGCTTGAATGCTGAGGGCCCGGGCGGCTGATGCTCATGATGCTCGCCCGCTTGGCTTGAATGCTGAGGGCCCGGGCGGCTGATGCTCATGATGCTCGCCCGCTTGGCTTTGAATGCTGAGGGCCCAGGCGGCTGATGCTCATGATGCTCCCCCGCTTGGCTTTGAATGCTGAGGCCCCGGGCGGCTGATGCTCATGATGCGCGCCCGCTTGGCTTTGAATGCTGACGGCCCGGGCGGCTGATGCTCATGATGCTCGCCCGCTTGGCTTGAATGCTGAGGGCCCGGGCGGCTGATGCTCATGATGCTCGCCCGCTTGGCTTGAATGCTGAGGGCCCGGGCGGCTGATGCTCATGATGCTCGCCCGCTTGGCTTTGAATGCTGAGGGCCCGGGCGGCTGATGCTCATGATCCTCGCCCGCTTGGCTTGAATGCTGAGGGCCCGGGCGGCTGATGCTCATGATGCTCGCCCGCTTGGCTTTGAATGCTGAGGGCCCAGGCGGCTGATGCTCATGATGCTCGCCCGCTTGGCTTTGAATGCTGAGGCCCCGGGCGGCTGATGCTCATGATGCTCGCCCGCTTGGCTTTGAATGCTGACGGCCCGGGCGGCTGATGCTCATGATGCTCGCCCGCTTGGCTTTGAATGCTGAGGCCCCGGGCGGCTGATGCTCATGATGCGCGCCCGCTTGGCTTTGAATGCTGACGGCCCGGGCGGCTGATGCTCATGATGCTCGCCGGATTGGCGTTGAATGTCGCAAGCTGACTCCCACCCTAAACCCTAAACCCGAATACTCCCTGCTTGGCTCCGGATTCGGGGTTTCATGCTGGGCACCTGCACAGACCTCCTCGAGGACGGTTTGGTCCTCAGGTTTTGCAAGGTCCAGCTCCGCCAGGTACACGCCTTGCAAGGAGGACAAGGCTTAGGGTTTAGGGTTACTGTTTAGGGACCAGGGTTTAGGGTGACCCGAAACCCCAAGGGCAAAAACAAAATCATCGGGTCTCGTGGGCACCCAGCCCAGCTGGTCCCCAGGAACTCTGCGTGAGACCAAGAGATCTGCAACCTCAGCCAGATCTCAAAGCGAGGAGCCGATTTAGTCCGGATAAGTGACCATAATCTGGCGAACTGTCTGGACTCAAAGTACGACCTGTGTGCTCACCTTTGGCTCACCAGCGGCAGGCAATCGAAACAGCAGGTGTCTTCAGCGGATCAATCACATGAATCAGAAATAGAGAGGATGTTAAACCTAGACCTCACAAAGTTTCATTCCGAATCCTTGGAAGCTCGGAGCTCTACTCTCCGCTTAGCCCCTACACATGTCCGACATGTCCCTTAAACACCCCCAAGGACGGTTAGAAGAGCAAGAATGGGACCTTCACCAACAGCATCGAGGCTGGGACCGCCGACTTGGGCTACTTCTTGGACTTCTTTGCTTCCGCTGCTTTCAGGACCCCCCAAAAAAGCAAAAAGCCGAGTTTGCTGCGTGGTCGCCGGCCTGTGCTTCAACTCTGAACAACGCGAACGGAACAGATCAAGGAGAGCCTTCACAACCTTCAAAGTGGCAATGAGCCACGAGCAGGCTCAACTACGCTGTCTCCACTTTTACCTGACACTGCCGCCCGTGGGGGGGTATCTCGGTCCGGGGCGTATACCCCAAGCCTTGCTACTAGTACTACTGTAAAAAAAAAACCATTCGCAAAACTCAAAATTAACAATCGTTTTGCCCCCCATGGCCTCGCTGCTCCATGGAGCAGACAAAGAGTGTATCTCCACAACGCCGTGGGGAAAAGCCAACCTGCTAGGAGCTTCTCAGGTCCCGTCTAGTTAATGAGTTTGAACAACTTCAAGCATGGGGACCGGAAGGGGCGGAATACTGCAACATGCCTGCTACCCAGCAATTGCGTTGGCCTCAACACGCTTAAATCTACAACGTATCCATCATCCTGTGCATGATGCTGCACAGCATACCTTAGCGTTGGTCTCCCAAAACTTGAATCTTCAGCAATCGTGATCCTGTGCGAAAGCATCTGTAACATTCTGCTACTACTCTGGCCTTAGGCGTCCCGACAACTACCCACTGCCGCCTTCACATCTGCTTTTGGACCTTCGAGAAGAGTGGCCAGGCCTTTGATCGTCCACGATGCCCGGGAACTTCCGGATGAGCCTCGGCAAGTGGTGCAGCAACACGAGAATGCTCTCACAAGGAGACGAACCGAAGCAGCCCCAGGATAGCCAAAAAAGCTGGAACCGGCGCCTAGGCACTCGCAACCACTGAGCTCCACGGCGCATCGCAGTTTTCTACGTCTGTGGGCACGCCCGAATAGCGCCGGTGCGCCGGGACCTGCAGGCGTGTGAGCACTGAAAGGGCATGAAAAGAGGAAGAGAAAATACGACTGAGAGGGCAGTGAGAAGCTTTGACTCAATCCTATGAGTATATTTGTGTACATATATCTCTACATACACACATCATATGAAAATTTAACACATATACATATACATGCACACATACACATACACATACACATACATATACATATACATATTCATATTCGTATACATATACAAAAACATCTACATCTACATCTACATATACATCTACATATACATACAAAACAAACAAGAAAAAAGAATGCGTGCCCCCAGGCGCAGAGGAAGACGCAAGCGATGAGTGGTTCGGCCAGCCCAGCCTTTTTGATCATCCAGCCCTCCGGATTGGCAGGGCACGTGACCAACCAGACGGAATCATTGATGCCGATCCGCCTTGCAGCATTCATCGGCATTAACAATAGAAGAAACATAAAGTGCAGAGTGTCGGTGACCAGCAACCCCGGCACTCTTCCATCCCGGTCCCCAACGGGCCTGACTCGGAAGCCACTCACGGCTGAGGTGCAGTCTAGCATCCTCCCGGGCCGCACAGAAGAAGCGGTATACGGCGGATTGCGGGCAACTTAGCTCGGGCTTGACAGCCCGGTGCTCCATACCGAAGCCCTCCCAACCCCCCATTCCTGGCCAATTCGTTCAGGTGGCTCTCCGGGATGAAGTCTCAGCAGCGAATGCTCTGTATGGCCACTCCAGTGACTCTAAGTACCGCAAGCCCCGCTGCTCTCTATTGGACCCACCATGACCCACCCATATCGAGACTGATGTCAATGCAGACTCACAAACCTCCCAGACACTGCCAATCTGCTGCTTTGCCGAGCGCCCTGCGTCCAGACCTCGGCAAAACACAACGAGCACCCAGCAAAGGAGGACGGGGTCGGGCAATATACTGGCTTTCCGCAGGCCCTACTTGGGGTTCAGTGTTTCTCGGGCCGAACTCAGAATATCTGTGTGAGCCCAAAGTGAACCCGACGGTGGACACCCAAAACTTGCGTTGTTGCAGCACTTTTGGGCTCCCGAGCGGGGCACGGAGCCGACCCAGTCGCTGCAGTGCAGTTGCAGGTCTCCTCAGTGACACCCCCCTTGGGGCAAACTTGGGAGGGGGGGGGGGGGGGGGGGGGGGGTGGCTGTTAAAAAATGAGAGTTTTCCCACATGCTTGTCTCTAATTTATGTTTATCACCCTTTTTAAGCTCCTTATCGTTTTACAGTGTTTCTACACCAAAAAACACACCAAAAGACACTCGGAATAGAAGGAAATGTTTGGGACCACGCAGAGCGATGGCCATTCTCGTGGCTTGAGGCTTTGATGAATGGAGCAGATAACGTTTCGTGAATCACAAGTTAACATACCGGTTATTGTCTATTTTCGTTCAAGGCCCTGGCCAAGCGACCGAAGGTCTGGGCACGTACGATCTAAAGCCTGCAAAGCCTTGTGGTGTTTTCCGTATCGTTTTGCAAGCTAATGGTCCTCACGGCCACCACCAACTCAACTGCAATACACGATTTTGTTTTGCAACCCCTTCTGGTCTTGCGTGCCGAGCACTCAGAGATTTCGTACATCAATTAAAAACATCAGGAGACTAGGAGATTTCTATTAACCTAGCTTCCCGACTTATCCACATACCGAAAAATTGGATCTGCCCGGGTTCCACTCGCTGGCCTGGCCAGGCTTTGTGGTCGGTGTCTTGCTTCAGAAGGCTGCAGCATGGCTGGGAATTTTCGACTCATATGTCTCTCGTGCGCAGCTCATGCACATCACAGAGCTCCAGGAGCGCACGCTCGCAAGCTACACAGCTTGGTTTTAAGAGTTTTGGGTGTAGGGAAAGGGTTTAGGGCTTAGGGACTTTGTTTCCGTAGGATGCTGGAACTAAGCGAGTCCCTCCCGGCGCGAATACGATTGATTCCGATTCCCTTGGAACGTCCGTGAACCTTGCGATACCCTTCTATCTCTCTGTGCACCGGGCTTGGCCATGCCGGCCTTCACCGCCAGCGACATCCCGGATACCTCGAAAGGCATGTGCGCATCCAAGGCAATGTGGAGAGAATGATTGTCATCCCTTGTCAAGCCAGCGCCGACAGCAGCTACCCGAACATCCAGCAATATCCAAAGGAGCAGCCTCTGCAAACTTCCATAGAGGCCTTTTTTGCTGCTCAGTTGAATGACGCGCCCTTGCCTGCCCCTGCTTACCGGGCCTTTGCTGCAGCCGCCAAGGTACTTCTCTACGGGACTTCCCTCGAGCCCGAGAAGAGTCGAAGATGTCGAAGAGAGTTCTCAGATGACGTTCGAATGTATCCTGCTTACAGCTATTACAGCATGATCAGCAAAATCAGGAACAGTTCGACCACGTTCTCTTGCTCTTATGCAACAAAAATGTAGTAGAAAACTATCATATGCGCCATTGAGCACAAGGCTGACCCCATCTTCCTGACCAGCAAGCAAGGATGCTCCAGCACGGCACATCTTTTCACCAGCATAGAGGGTCGTGTTGAGAACTGACCGAATAGGGCGGGCACCAGCGACAAAAGGCCAGCGCCCATCGCCCCCTTGCTGAAAACTGGGCATCTGGGCATCACGAAAGTGTACTTGGCGCTCCAGCTCCAGAAAGCTCACTCGCATCCCAAACACTCCCTGAGCCATGTCTTGTTAATTGTGACTAGAGCTGGCGGCGACTCGGATAGCATCATGTATGTGTCAATTCTCTGGAGCTTTCTCATGGGACTGAGCACAAAGTTCACGAAGCTCCTAGCATTAGCTGGAGGTCGCTTGGGACCAGCGAGCCTCATAGCAAGAATCTGGCGTTCGGTATGCTCTTCAGCCGGCTGTGGAGCAAGCAGAACTCGTCGGGCGAAGCGCAGCACACGTCCAAACCTCAGTATCGCCAGCTCTCTTATCCACAACCATCCACCACCATCCATAGGACTTCGGCTCTTATGGGTTTACTCATGTCGTTGCCACTCCTGGGGCCCGCACGAACAGATTGAAATCGTGTTTTCTCCACCACTTCGATCTGGCCATCGCAGCAACGAGCTGAAGTGAGCAGAAACGCCGGAACCCTCGTCGAATATGAACCCTTCAGCCCACTGCGCCTTTTCTGGCTCCCCGCCCATGGTGCTGGACACCACACCTTTCACGGTCTCCAAGAACTCAGCACCTCACGTGCTTGATCTCTGGGGAGCCATGGGGAAGAAAGTGAAAGCATCGGCAATCAAAAGTAGCTATTAAAAAGACATACCATGTGTGGGCTGGAGTGGACTTGGGGAAGTCCCTAGCAAGTCAAGAAGTTCCGCTTCTCTGCGTGCCATGCAGTAATCGGTCATGATCCCTTGGAGGTACCCTCTGGGACGGTTGAACATCACTCCAAGATAATAGCCCACCCACAATGGCGCCGCTTTTTTATCCCCCTTGTGAGGCGAGGTGATGCCCTCGTGAGGGAATCTTGGCGTCGCTCCCAGGAAGATGAGGTGTAGGGTTGAGGGAATCTGGGCTTTGGGGGGTTGAGGATTTAGGCGAAACCAGTATGCAAGCTGCTCGGCGTCAGCTGGATGGGCCCTATACTGCACAGCAACATTAGCACTACACTGTTTAAAAAAGTGCGGACGAGTGGGTAAATATGCGATACAGCGAAGCCTGGGGCTCCCAGCCAGACGGTCCGATGACAGAGAATCGCTGCACACTTGGCCACTGCTTCTCCTTGCGGATGCCGTAGGCTGGAAACACAGCTCCAGTACTACTGCCAGGCCGGCATTCACCGAGTCATGTGTTCCCATAGTTGAGACAACAACACACCACAGCCATTTCCCATTTCCCGGTCATGCAGCCCACTAGTTGGCAGCATGCTGTGCAAGATGACAATTGCTGCACCCCCTCCACGCGCTCCTGTGACAAAGCCTGCCAAATCGCTGCGTATTCCTGGCGGTATCACAAAGCTGAGCAGCTGGTCTTCTTTGCGTAATTAGGCAGCATCATTGTGTCGGTAAAGCCATGTCTCATGTGGTCTGTCAGTGGCTCAAGTCTGTGGTAGTGGGACACATAGCAAGAAATGAGAAGGGGGTGTGTTCTTCTTCGATGGAGCTTAAGACAGACTGGGCAAGCCGATCCCAACATAGAGCGTGCTTGCACTCCTGCACGTCGTAGCCCCTGGAAGCATCTGGGCCGACGGTCTCATGACGGCCTGCTCCATTGGGGGCGCCAGTGTAGCCTGCAGCATAGCATCCGAGCTGTGTGGATAATACAAAGATAGAGGGACAGATATCACGGATGGTCATGTCCAGACTGTAGATCCGTAGAAAGCAGAACACTGGACAGCCAGATCCACGGATGAAACACAGGCGCATGCTGCACCTTGCTCAGTGCTCCTAGGCGGTCCCTCAACAGCAGCCAAGTGGAACCTCGAGTGTTTGTTGCTGCTGCCAGCTTCTGGGCGGCTGCCCTGGAAGCCTGGGCCGATCTTTGCGTCTTTGCATGGGGATGGGGTCCTGCAATGGCCTGCACGGCTTGGCTTGTACAGTTCCAGAAACATTTGGAAAGGAAGGACCCTGCCTGAGCATCTCCACGAGCAATCGTCAGCAGGGCGCCGTTCCGAGAGGCCAGAGCCTTCACGAGGCCTGGTTCGGCATCTGAAATTGCTGGCCCACTGGTGTTCAAGCAGGAAGTGATATGTTTTTTGCAGCCATGGCAGACATGCTGACATCAAAAAAAAAGCAAAAGCAAGCAAAAGCCGAGATGTCGCCGACAGGACTCATCCGCACAAAAAAGTATTCCACACCCGAATGCCGGCACTGGGCTGACCGCTGCAGGCCGGTTTCAAGGCTTTTGTGTGGGTTGTTTCCGGTTGGGACCCGGCCTGGCAAGCCTCCCTGATGGCGGGCGTTGCGTGGCGGCACGGTGTGGTGATGTCAGAACATGCATTGTTTTTGTCAACAGCCTAAGTATTCAGTGGCCTTGGGATCATGCCCCAAGACCCCCAAATCAAACGTAAACCCCAATCCAAAGTGCAGCCGCAAGACTCGGAAAATACTTCTTCCCAAGCGGAAGACGAAACAAAAACCGACGCGGCAGCCCTTACCCGGCCACTGTGCGACTTGTGCGACTTCTGGGGATGGCCTTGCGGGAGCTGGCCCCAGCGGCCCATCTCCGGGCCCGTGCCCTCAACGTTCTTCGGGCCTTCGGCCACAACCTCAATGTCCTCAGCACACCATAGACGTGTTGCAATGTGTTGCCATGTTCTCTACAAGCACCCAACCAGCACGCCAAAGGTCCCAAAGGCCTAAAGGTGTTCGATCTTGGGTGTGGCGAGTTTGAGGGAGCTTGGGGTTCGAGCATTACGTTCACGAATTTCACAAATCCAAGCTAAAAAGGTAAGCAATGCTTCCACAAAAACGCTTCGTGTCAAAGTCTGGCTCAAGCCCAAATCGAGGCTGTCAGATGCTCAGAACTAAAGCTATACGACGAAACATCCGAAGCATTATCTTGACCGCCTGAAGTTTTGTGCTATTTAGGTCGTTTGCATCAGCATCAGATGGAGAGTCAGCTCAGCTTCCCGCTGTAATCAGCCAATCGCGCAAAGCGCAGAAACGTAGCACAAAATGCACAACGCACATCCTAGAGCCCTGGAAAAGCCCCAATACCACTTGGAAGATTTGATACTGAAAGCAAAGAGACGTCCGCACTCCTGAGAGCCCTGCTTTGGCACCAACTTGCATTCGCGATGTCCGCCGCTCACCGTCGGTCAACCCCCTCAGAGTTCTCTGTCGTCGTCATCAAAGTATGCTGGAGCTTACAACGGTGTGAGTCAAATTTAGACGTCCTTGGTGGCGGTTGCCTGCTCGGTCCTATGTTTGAGTTTGCCCGGCCATGGATTTAGATAGCATGGAGCCTCAACAGCTTCAGCCACAGCGCATGTTGCAACTTGCAACCCGACAGGACCCGGACATGATGCTGCATCACAATCTCACAGCGGCAGCGCAACGAGCACTGCTGTTTTCTGTCTGTTTGAACTGAAATAGCCAGAATTCGGTTCACCCCCATCCACGGCCAGATGGCTGGCGTGGCCCGAGAGGATCAGCAATGCAGGCGAAATGGGATAGATGAAAACTGCTGGTTCATTGGCCGAGGGGTGTTTCTCGACTTCCTGCTGATCCTCAATGAGTGTGAAAACTATACAATTGAACTAGAAATGTATGCTTTGAAACGTCAAATTTATAGCTCTGGGGCTACATCATGTAGGAGAAGAGCTGAACACGCCTCAGGTCTCATGCTCTTCATGCCAGGGCACACCCTGTTCTTTTAAGCCATGACACTTATTGAACCCTTTGACACGCAAAGTCCTGAAAGCGTCGCGCGAGTCGCTTCTCGATCCTCCCGCCATTCGCGAACCCGGGCATCGGCGCGGAAGCTGGCGTTTTTCGATCTGCCGGAGACTTGCTTGTGTTGCCTGGAAGCGCCCGCTTTTGGAAATGGGCTCCAGTGTCTGATGCGATCGTCGCCTACTTCTACGACGAGGGGTACCCCGCCAGGCCTCGCAGCACCAGCAAGCAGTCGCGAGTTCTGTTGTCTCTCAATTTTGCGAAGAGCTGGAGCTGGACCAGCAGTGTGCACGCGAAAAAACCAACAGTGCGGTAAGGGCCTTTGTGCGGTTGTTGTGATTGGCCGGTTGTTTGTTTTGTGGCGGCAGAGACTCTGGCTTTGCCTGCCGGTGAACCGATGCAGGATCCAACTCGCCCACACGCCTCCCAGCAAAAGACGTGTTTGGGCATCCACAGCGTGGCAAATAAATGGTGCTTCCTGTATTGTTTAGCAGGTCTTCGGTGCTTGCTGACTAGCGCTCCCAGCCCTTGGTCCCGATCCGAGCTCGGGACTCTAACGGGTCTACTTGTCCAGAAGCTTCACGATTGGACATCTCCTGCATCTAAACCCCAATTTTATTCAAGTGACATTTTCGTTGATCTATGTTTGTTTTTAGGGCTGATGCCTCCGAAACATGGCCAGCGTGAGCTGTTCACAAGAACATGTCAATGTGGGTGAGGGAGGCTGTAGGTTCTGGCATCCTGTATTCCCTGAGACCCTCACAACTGGGTCCTTCCATCGCGCCCACCCACACAATACAGCGCCCAGACCAAAACTGATCAGCGCCCTCAAGTCCTGCGCAAATCGGCTTCGCAAACTGCTTTGGAGCACCTCCTAGTCTACAAGAGGTTCACGAGGCCTCTTAGCTAGCTTGAGTCTGAGGGCGTCGGGTCCTGGCGCAAGTTACACCAGTCATAAATGCCCTCGGCTGCAAAACACGTCTCTTTCGAACTCGCTGGAGAGATGGAGCTCACCTGGCAGGTTGTCAAGTTTAGGCTGCTTCAGTGGCTTAGGGTTGAGGCTTTGCTGCACTAGCCGAAGCTCCGTTCGTACCCCTCACACTAGGGCGCTGTTCCGGGGCTATGGCCATGCGCAGGAGCCCGGAGGCCAAGACCTGCTTGTTTCGCGGTTTGGTCACATTGGAAGGTGATGAGAAATCGATGAGAAATCGAAAGAAAGGAGTGATTGGCCTGATGGAGAGGAGACACAGTCGACCTCCCCTTTCCCCAAGTCCTCAGGCGCATGCCATGGCTAGCGCCACGGAGACGTAAAGCGGCAGGCCGAGATCGGCAGCACCCTGCGAACTTCGTGACAAGGCAACAGCATAGCTTGTTCAGGCTTGGGGGCTGCTTACGCACGAGACTTCGCGCGAGAGCAATTCCGAAAAATTGCTCAGAGCGTACCCACATACCAGCCAATCTGGTTATTACCCTGTGGGCGAAACTGCTTCCTAAGTCTGAAAACCGCAGGAACCGTCCTGAAAGCAGGCGTCCAAGGAAGAATGTCGTGGTGAAGCAGGGGTCATCGTGTATGAATAATCTCGAGGCCTTAGCGGGCAAAACTCACGTGGGCATGTTTAGGCTTAGGGCCAAGTTTGGGGTTGGTTTAGGACTCCAAACGCGGGCCTGTCACGCTTGTCACCTGCTTTGTGCCTTCACGAATCTGGGCAGCTGCCAAAGTGTTCACATATTTTGTCATATTTCCCTCCAAAATGGTTGACACCTGCTCTATCCAGAATCCCGTGGGAGCAACAGCAATCCCTGAACTTCGTGTCCCCACTCTTTTTCGGATTCTGCGTTCTGCACTTGGCTGGCACCGTGTCCGGAACATTCCCCCGCCCCGAAATACCGAAAATTGTTGCCCCTTCATCGTTCCTGCAGCATCTTGCAGCCGAAAGGCACTCAATCCCTGCTGCGCATAGAGTGCGTTCGATGCGGTCTTGGTGCCGAAAGCCAGCAGCAAGGTACAGTTCGGGGGCCGCATGTGATGTGCAACCCAACACTCACACGCACTGAGCTAAGCTTGTGTTCAGCAGCTTGGCACAAACACACGCACAAACAAACAAACAAGCAAGCAAGCAAACAAGCAAGCAAACAAACAAACAAACAAACAAACGAACAAGCAAGCAAGCAACAAAAAAAACAAGGAGAGAGAGAGAGAGGGGGAGAGAGAGAGAGAGAGATGCGCGTCCGCACAAACAAACAAAACAAACAAACGAATAAACAAACAAACTAACTAACTGACTGACTGGCTAACTGACGACAGCCAGACAGACCCGCTAGACTCAGCTTCCTTGACCATAGAAGACGAGCGGCAAGCGAGGTCGCACCGCCGAGGGCGATGGCGTTTCTTCAATGTGATCGAGAGATCTAGCCTGCGCACATGGAGCGGGTTGGAAGGGTGTGCATACTGTATAGTCCTTTGCAAGGCGCTGGTTTAGGAGCTTACGAAAGCTACCAAAACAAGACCAGGCCTAACCATGTGCAGAATGTGACTCTACAGGTGCGAACCCAGTGTAGAGTGCGGACATACCAATGTTACGTGAACAGTTTATGCACAGTAGGACCGGGCCTGGCTCAGAAGCCTTTCTTTTGCAGAGCCCGTGAAGTAAAACCTGCTTGCGAGACGAAGTGGCGAGGCGTACAGCCTCCCTCCACCTGCGTTGGGTGCACTGCACCGACGCATCAAGAGAGCTCAGGGTTCATGCAAGGGGCGAGCAGGTCTGCAATGTTCGATCAAACAACGAGACTGGACGTGTCCAAGGCGCGTAGCGGTTCTGCTTCATGTGGCTTGGTATTTGTCTCAGGTTCGGGCCTGGCTCGTTCACAGGGCTTCCTCGGGGAGAAAGGCCAACTTTGAGCCTAAACGTCGCGGTAGCTTGAGGCTGCCTCCCGCAGGACATCGCACACTGTGCCCTGCGCTTCAGGCACAGCATTGGAACATGAGACTGTCCGCATGCCCCGACCATCCCTGATACGACGGCAAACCAAGACGGACTGATCCATCCTTCACACCTTGAACTCTTTCTTTGAACTCTATGTTTTCTGCAACTGCCTAAGCTCAACATAAGTACTTTTCTGTCTGTACAACTTGGTGAAACCGTCTGGGCAAGCTGCACTCACTTCGGCACACTGAGATTCTAGATTGGACAGCCTGCCAAGGCCACATCCTTGAAATGCACAACAACCGGCCGTCTCCACGAAGGACCACTGACTCGAGGATGCTCGAGCCTTGGTGGCAGGTCAGGACGGAAAGTCCACATAATCAACCCCCAACCTGTTGAGAGATTCTATGAATAGAGCCTTGAATAGAGAATAGATGTGTGTAGATGCAAGCAGCATCATCTCTACGATCATGGAGTCTTTTGTTCAACTCCACGCAGCTGCAAGTTGTCAACGTCAGTTTCCTACACGAAGAATCTCCAGCGCGCTGAATCGCCAAGCCACACCATACTCGAGCAACACCCGAAGAACACAGCCAAACTCCATGGCTGGCAGCTTGATGCAACATGATGCAGCCAGGGTACGGGTTTCGCTTAGTTTGTGGTGTCACTTGTCTCGGCCAGGCCTAGGTGTTCCAGATGCCTGGCAGCACACTCCAGCACAGCTGTCAAACACAGCAAAATACCGTGTCAGTCTGACATTTCTCAGGGACATGGAGTGTCATGGAGTCAAGCAACACCCTGTGAGCCCGAGCGGCAGCGGAAAGCCAGGTGTGGGCTGATTCATGTTGGGTCAAGCTTGTTACAGATGTGTGCAAAGCCATCTCACCAAACCGCACCTTTTTGAAAAGCTCCAAGTGCCAAGCTGTATCGCACTGTATCGCTCTGTATCGCACGGTATCGCACTGTATCGCACGGTATCGCACTGTATCGCACTGAGCTTTCAGGCGTTGGATAGCATTGGCGTCCTCGACGACGATTCCAGGAGAGATACGCCGCGTGCTGAATGCACCGTATTCGAAAGGTTAAGGAGCCCTCAAGCTGCAGAATGCCAATGAAGCTCTCGGACTCTGAGGTCAAACGGGAAGAGACTGAGTAGTTGTCGCGGTAACCTCGCATGCTGCACCACAGTCGCCCTCTTGAGCGTACTGAGCGTACTGGCCAGAAGGATCCAGACGTCCGTCGTGCCCTTCATCGGCGAGCAAACTTCAATCTCTGCTCGTTTGCGTGGGTTGTCTGTTGCCGCTTCCCACTCATTCAACCCAGGGTCCACACCAGTCTGAAAAGCAATTTTAGCTCATCCGCGTTCGGATTCAGCGCAGTCTTGTCGAATATCGCAGATCTCGCGTGTCTTCTTCGTAGATGTTACGTCACGCTATCCGGCAGAGTAGCTTTCTTCCAGGCGAGACTCCATCACCTCAGGGTCTCTCTTCCACTGTCCATTCTACACTTCAAGACATTATTGGCATGACACTTCGGCAGATCTGCCAGATCCTAAATCCCAAGCATGTGGTCCACCGCAACTGTTCCGCTTGGGGCGTTGAGGCTCTGTTGCACACTCTTGCCATAGTTGCTCAAATTGATGTTCAACGCTTGCAGCAAACTTGCCAGTCGAAGGTATCCGTCAATCCTACAAGCCGTCGAAAAACAACAGCCACACACACACACACACACTTTGGCAAGGCCAGGACTGATGAAAAGTACTTTGACAGAACATGACCGTGTGTCATGCATGATGGTGACATGAACATTTTGTGCCAACCTGTGCCAGACACCAGGAATGGCACAAGTGAAAACGAATGAAATGATACCAATAGGGGTATGGGTGCGTCCCCTGTTGCACCAGACGCCAGGAATGATGCAACGCGAAATGAGGTGAGGGATGAACGAGGGGTGAGGTCCCCAAGCTACTCCCGCAGGAGTCCATGGGCAGACCATCGCAGGTACGTTTACACGGGTTGGGGAGGGGGGTCTTCGTTGACCGGGACCCCCTCCCCACCCTCCCGGTCCCCTGCGATGCACCATGTTCAGGTGTTGCCACACACACACACAGAGCCACAACGAAAGACAAAAGACAAAAGACAAAAGACAAGCTGATTCCCAAACCGGAAAAGCCTGACGCATCTAAGACCTTCACATACCGCAAGCATTCTACCTTGAATCGCAGCGCCATAAAACGCGAGCCCCTCCAAGTCCCTTCAGCCCCCTCGCTCCTCGCTCTGCGCCCAAAGCTCTTGCAGCGCCCGCTCCTTGCGACGAAGCTCCGAGCGCAGGGCCTCATAATATGGACAACAGTTCGACAGTTTGACAACAGCCTTCGTTGTCTTCGTTGCAGCCAGGATCCATGTGTTGCCTTGTCCAAAGTATGCTCACCCATATATGCCAACAAACAGCAGACGACCAACTCTTTGGCGTCTTTGAAGAGAACCCTGACAAGTTTGAACGAAATACGTCTCAACATGTTGTATCTATGTCTCTGCTTCTGCCTGTGCCTCCGCCTCCGCCTCTGCCTCTGCCATCCTATGCCTATGCCTAGGTCTATGTAGAAACCGTCTCAGATCGCCAGATTCCCAGATTCCCAGATTTGCTCACCTTAACTTGCCAGATTCCCAGTTTGCTCACCTTAACTTCTCAGATTCCCACATTCCCAGATTTGTTTACACTGACTTACCCGGTCATATGTGGATCTTGGAAGTTGAGGTGAGCAAATCTAGGAATGTGAATCTGGGAAGTTAAGCTGGCAAACCTGGAAGTCTGGCCTGGGAAGTTGAGGAGAAACGGATTGGATGGACATCGTGCCAAAGCACACTGCCTTCAATTCGTGATCTTATTGACCTGGAACCCAGTGACGTCTTGGTCCTCATGACCTTCGGCTTCGCGCCTTGGTGCGCGCCAGATCCGCAGCGCAGCGCCGGGCATCGGCGGCCGCGGCGTCTCGCCGAGTCTGGCGACCAATCCCTTAAAATAACCCCAGAAACATCTTCTAAAACCCAGGCAAGCGGCAGCCTTCAAAACTCGAAGGCTGAAAGTAAAAAAAATCCTTCAGGTACCAGGTAACGCCCCAAACCATTCACGCGAACGACTCTGGAATCGGCTGCCCAAGGAATACGAAAAGATGACGTTGGGTCATTTTGGTGCGCCACCCCTGTGCCATACTTAGCTCGAATCAACCCCAGCCTCACGGCGTCGCTTGGCTTCCGCAGCCTCGGCCCTCAGTGCCTCGCAAAGCCGAATGTGGGAAATTGATGGAAATTGCCCAAAAGGTCGAGTAGCTGCGTGGCTTTTGCCGACCAAGATCGCTGGTTTCACAGCCATGTCAATCAAAGTCCGACATGACCTGACATGACCTGACATGACCTGACATGACCAAGAATCCCTGCTCGCGATGCCGGGCCTTCAAGCGCGTTTCCTTGCTGGCTAGGCTCTGCCGGGCCTTGAACCAGCAGTGTTTCTGAAGAAAAGCTTGCTTTCTACAACAAGCATTGGACAAGACTGTTAAGCCATCGCGATGTGCGAGCAGTGCCTTGGCGAGAGAACTGCTCAGCTCCGCCTGGCGTTTTGCCTGCGCTTCTAAATGCTCGGTGGACGCTTCTCCGACACCTGGCAAGCAATGCATCTGGTCTCAGAAAACTCAGCCGAGCTTGCGTGTTTTGGGACTCGCAGCACTAAGACCGCAAGCAAGTGGCAGTGATTCTGGAGCGTTGCGATGAAGGCCCGCTTCCGCTCAGCATCATCTCGGCTAAGCCGCCTGGAGGCGCGGGAAACACAGGCAGAATCGAAAGTGCAAGCCCTTGCAGCTGCCGTGAACCTGCGACTCCAAATACCGAAAAACCAGCCCAACCTCTTGCTGTCAGAGCACAGATGCTGCTCCACTTCTTCGAGCTCTTTCCGCAAGAGATCCTCCTTGCCGTGGTGCCGCGCGACATCGCGGCAATTATCACATCGATTTTCAGCCCCAAACCCGTCTTTGGAAGTCGGTCCGGGTCTGATTTTAAGTTTAAGTCGGAGGCCAAATAGCGGCGCTGGCAAACAGCCCACACCCAAGTTAAGATCGGCCTGGGGCGATGCAATTCGCGTCAAGCTTACTAGGGCTGGCGGAAGTCAGCCAGGATCTGAAAGTGAGGAAGAATAGTGGTGCACGCATATAGCCGGCGGTCGGGGCTAAACAGAGGTAAGGTCGGCGGAGGCCGGCCTTCGTCTGAATTGCGGTAGGCCTAGGCTAAACTAGCGATGCCGGCAAGCAAGCCACACGCAAGTTAACATCGGCCTGGAGCCCGAGCTATCAGGCCTGGGCCCACGCCAAGGTTCGGGTTGGCCAAGGTCGGTCTGGGTTTGAACTGGGGAAGGCCATAGTGGCGGGAGACAAACAGCACCCAGGTCGGTCTTTGGTCAGCAAGCCGCGCCGAGGTTTCGATTTGTGGACGTTGACCTGGGTCTGAATTGAAGTAAGCCTGGGCAAAATGGGTCGGCCTGGGCCTAAGCAACCCCTGTTATGCTTCACCACAGTTCTAGCTATATAGAAGAATGTAGGGTGCAGGCATATTTACAAAACAGACATTCTTGTGCATTTGTCTTTGTATTTGTGGTTGTTGACCGAGGCAGAGTCCACATTTTAAGCTATCTTTTTGGTGAAGCTCCGACACCAGCCCCAAAGCCGAGGGACAGAGCTGGACTGCGCGGGGGCAAGTGGACAAAGCGCCCGCAATACACTGCTTTGACATTTGGACTGCCACAGAAAGTGGTGAGCTGACAATGCGAAAGCATGTCCTCACGCTCGCCAGCAGCCACTTCCTGCTTTAAGACCTGCACTCGTGGTGCATGCAAGCAGCTTTGAAACATCATCTGCTATAGGCCCTCGTGCAGTCTGAGCCTACAGCTTGCAATACAGTACACAGCCTCTGCAGACCCCGTGGAACCTCTTTCTGCTCTCGGGCTCGTCGCAGCTGAGCATGGAGACGCTGGAGCTCCCGGGCTGTAGCCTCTCTACGTGCAGCGAGTCATGAAAGTGCGGCCTGGTACCCCCACCAGATTGCAGGATTTGCAGGCCAAGCAATCCATGGCAATCCAAACACTCAAGGCTGCCACTTATTGCAAGGTCCACATCGGACAGGACATATGGGACAGCTCTGAGCTCTCCTGTGATACGTACACACATCGTAACAATCCTGTGATGCGTGAATCAATGAGAACATGTATGTGTACACATATATGAAAATAGATACGTCTAGGTGGATGTGTTATGTATGTATATGTGTACAGCTGAGAAAGAGACGGACAGAGAGACAAAGACAGAGAGAGAGAGAGAAGCAACACAAAACAAAACAAAGAGCTGCTAACGTAACTGTACACCAAGTTGCCGCGCTGCTGGTCGGTTTGTGAGTCGTGGTCAGGCTGAGTCTGCCGACCGGGTTGACCGGGCTGACCGGCTCGGCATCGGCATCTGCTTCTTGGCGCAAGGCCTCCATCTCTTCAAGGAGCGTGGTTTCCTGGCTCCGAATGGCTGCCAGCTCCGTGAGAAGCACCTCCAAAAGCGCTTAGGACGGTCATCGAACTCCCTCATGAAGAACAGACACTGCAACTGTATGACAGGCCTGCTCCCTCTGCCGCGGTGCGGTGCTGCCATGCTGCGCGGCGCAATGGGACTCGGCATCTTCCAGCCTAGGCTTGGCGGATGCGAGGTGCGAGGAGGGCTGGGCACTTTCTGTTTGGATGTTTGGAGATGACGGGGACCCCTCCAACAGGGTTTCGTCCTTGCTGCCCGCAGGCTCTTCGCGGAGCTCGACCACCTTCCGAGGAGAATTCAATCGAGTTGAGGATTTCCGGAAAACTTAAGACCTAAGTGACTTAAACCTGCTTCTGGGGCTAAGGTTTCAACAGCTGCTTGGCACGAGGAAGCTCCTACTTGGCATCACAACCGACGAAACAGCCAAAGTCTACCCCCGCCCCAAAAACATGATCAAACAGGCATCATAAAATCCTTCTGCCTTTTGGCGCGCAGCGTCGCAGCGAATCGCGGCATTCACCTGAGACACGCGGACAACTCCGCACACACTCCCCAAACACCCCACTCCGAAAAACTGAAGCCATCTGAAGCCACGTGAGGCCAGCTGAGTGAAGCCATCTGAAGCCCGTAAACCCTAAAATGCCCTAAAACCATCGGCCTCCAGCTGCGAAGCCTCAGCGGCTTCGCGGGCACGGCGGCTGCGCCACTGCTGCTCCTCCAGCTCCTGAGATGCTTGGGAGTCAAAGCTTGGATGGCCGGGTCCAAATTTTACACACTGGTGCTTTCCGGAAATAGGGGGTACCTTCTTGGGGTCCTGATTATCAGGGAATCCTACTATGTGGGGGTCGATTGAGGGCAAGTGTAGGGGTCCCCAATTCTTTTTTCCCAACCCCGCTGTTAAGCCTGTTTCTAGCTGTCCTGAACCTGAGTGCGCCATGCATGGTGCTCGTCGCGGTGGGCGATCTCCTGCCATTGCTCCTTGGCCTCGACGAGAGGTTTCTGGGGATCCAGGTTAGTGTAGCGATTTCGTACAGTAGCTTCCATGCTCATCCCTCTCTCTTTCCCATGAGAACCACAAAGGAAGCTCCCCTCCAGCTCCGAAAGTCGTTTTGCTTTTTGACTGATAATTGTGAGCACGGGCATAAGAATGTTCATGTTAACCTGCCCCAGATTCAATTACATTGCATGACTTTTACACCTCATTATTACCTCACTGAGACAGACATACCGACAACACGCATACACGTTTTCACACACTGAGCCACATACTCACAGACATTTACTGACCTAAGCCTTCTAACCCCCCAAGCCCGCCCTGAACCCGAGCAAGCGAAAGCCCAAGAAGCCTCCAAAAGGATCCCTTGCACTTTCCTTGCGCCTGCACTGCTTCCAGGCGCAGCTCCGCAGCAGCCTCACGCTGGGCAGCATCGGCGCCGAGCTTTGCCGCAGCTGCCGCCTTCTTGAGCAATTCTTATGTCAAACAGCCTCACAAATGACCGCGGCGCAAGCTCAGCCCAATGCACCTGTTGTTCATTTTCAAGGCCTACAGGTACTAAACCACGGGATTAGGTTGCCGAGCAACAAAGATCGGAAGACTGCAAGCTCAAGCCCCGTCCTTTACAACCAGGGCAACGTCCCAGCAAAGCTTGGGTTTGGGCTTCCGTCATGCATGCGTGCGAGGGTGGGTGGGCGTGCGTGCGTGGGTGTGTGGGTGTGAGTGCGTGCATGGGCGGGTGCGTGGGTGTGGGTATGTAGAGGTGTGTGTGTGTGTGTGTGTGTAGTTTTGTAATGTGCCGGACAAATTCGCAAGGCAATAACGAGAGTACTGGCATCTTCTTTGATCCTAGCAATGACCCCTCAACTATCGATGGAGAATGGCTTCTTGCCGTCTATCACGGTGACTAGTTTTTGCTGTCTGGCTCTGGCTTGGAGAAAGTCTGGGCAGACGCCAGCAAACCTCCTCCCCGAAGTGCCGAACTACATAGAGCGTTTAACTACAAACCCACGACGAATTTGCCAGTCTTGCTGGCAGTGGGCTTTCTTCCCGGAGGGTGGAGATATTTCCACTCCGCAAAGCCCAAGCAGGTTGGCACTTTGGCACTTTAAAGCCATTGTCGAGCCCCCTAAGCCTCTTTAAGACTGCTTGACGACTGCTTTGAGCCACTGGGCCTCGGATGCATAAACCAACGACTCTGCTTTGTGCTGCTGCTCCTGGCGGCTGAGCTGGGAAAGCAGGAAAGGAGCTTCCTCCTAGCTGAAGGTGGCCCAAATAAAATCAAACCTACTAGCTTCTGAAAGCCGGAAGCCTTCAGCCACTCTGCTTGTTCGGGCCCCGTCCTCTGCACCGGTCTGCTCGAGCTGTCCAAAGATGTCGGAGATCCTACCCTGCACCTCGTGCCATCTCGTATCTCATGCGCTGAACGCGGGGAAAGTGCCGCTGAGGTGCTGCCGAGGAGCTTGCAAGACACGCTCCTGGGTTGCCTTGACGGCCCTCTCGGGATAGGCTCCAACCTGCAGATTCGCTTCAGCAACAACTGAAGATCGTCAGCAGTACGCTCCGACAGTATCTTGCCGTTTCGCTGGAGTGGCATTCATCCTATATAAGAAACCATCCCAGCTTTCAAATCCTTTTGCTGACGCCGGGTACAGGTTCATACTGATGCGGCCGCACCATTGGGCCACGCCACCCCTCGAGTTTCGGTCTCCAGAGTCGCACGGCGATGGCGCAGTTCGTCGATGCGCTTCAGCGATGGTGAGAGGCGCTTCCTGGGAGTTGTCAACACAATGATCTTGCCTCTACCGGGCACCAGGCTTCCCTGTTGCGATCTCAGCGCAAACAGTCTGCCTAAGATGAACCAAGCAGCTGGAGCTCCCAGTTGGCGCTCTCGACACGGAGGGTTTCGTGGCGCAGCCGCTCTGCCTCCTGGACCTGGGTTGTACAAGCCTTGGGAAACGAATTTGGGCATTGTGTATATCTTGCTTCGCGAATTTATGCTTTTAAGAATTGCGTAGGCCGGTTACCTCGCCGCGGCACACGCGAAAATCTCGAGGCTTCTCAATATCTTGACGGGAAACCGATTGCTCTCTTCTTACTGGAAAGACTGCTGTTTTGTCTATGCCTTGTTAGGAAAGCCCTATTTTCTTGATATTTGAGTAGGAGAACCTCCATTCTCTCCACATGTTGACAGATTTTTTGGACAACATCTGTTTTCTCTCTCTCTTTTATTGCACGGTCCCAGTTCAAGCATCCTTCCAGTCACAGCTGCGCTTGTCTAGGGCGAACGTGCAGCCATCTAACAAACCAACACATGCTGCCTTCAAAGAACGTTGCGGGTGGGCTCAAGTATGTTTTCTCCACAGCTACCAAAATTGGATTTGAAAAACTTCTGAATACTTAGCAGAAGAATTTGTTTTACAGTGCCCGTGGTGGAACAGCTCGAGGATCCAAAGGAACTTCTTCAGCGGATGCTTCCGAAAACAGTGGAAGAGACAATGTTCACTGGTGCTCGGAAGGAGCAAGAGCCCCCAACAACGAACTGATGGGGTTCCTGCACACTTCGGGTGAAGGCACCTCCTCTTTCAGCTTCTCCTCGTTCTGTTTCAAGTTCTCCTTCATGCGTTGCTCCTGGCATATAGGAAACATGTGAGTGGTCCAGAAGCTGCCAAGACCACTCGTAAGCTTATCCGCAGAACCGCTCTGATGAGCTGAAAAATGTGGAAGCGCTTGGATGTCAGGCGCTGCTAAAACGCACGAGGCGCGCCTCTTCCGCTTTAAGAGCCCACTCCGAGGCCGCAAGCTCCTCGGCCTTGGCCTGGGTCGGAGAATTCGAAAGTTCAAAAAAAAGCCAAAGAATGGAAAGAACAGAAACCCTTCTTCCGACTCAGGTGTAAAACTTGAAGTTCAGGGTTTGATACAAAAAAACTCCCTCCTGATCCTAAATTTCCTCTGGGAGGCTGCCTATGAATTCATGAGATTCGTTAGAACGATACAGGTTCAGGTTTCGAGGGATTTCGCGTGTTCAGCGTCTTGGGCTCCGAAACTGTTGTGCGCGACACCGAAGTCCCAGCGCATTTTGGTGTGATCTTTCGGGGTTGTCGGTTCCACAACCTCGCCGGAAAATTGCCCTGCCATGTAAATTGCCACTTCTCTTCTCCTGAGCACGCACGCGAGCACGCACGCGGTGCGCGGGAACGCAACGGTGCAACAGTGTTCAAGAAATACAATTCATCTCCAGCTATATTCATCAACTCACTTGAAACGTTTACATTTTATATTTGGGGAAACTAATAACGAGGCTACAACCCGAAATAAGCTCTGTTCACTCTATAATTTGTGAGATCGTTTGTCGGTTACAGGTCATTGATGACTCCAGATATCCGTAATCAAAAACTTACAAATACTAACTAGCCCCCGAGTAGAATCATATCTCTAAACATGTCATTTTCAGCAACTGAATTTAGTGGTGAAAATATTCTAACTGCATATTTTAGAAAATGGGCACTGTACAGCGAATGAAATGAACAATTGGTTGGGAAGTATGGAACGAAGAAGGCGGGCTGTCCCCCCCGGGAAAAAGAGAAACTCTGCCTTGCACCCACACCCTGTTCCTTGTCGGTAAGGAGAATTGGCCGCACAAGAAAAACACACATAAACAGACGCATGGACCAGGCATGTCCCAGCCCATGCAAGCAGAGCCCGTCTTCCGCAGTAGAGTCCCCTCCTTATGCCGCTGCACTGAGGAACCACGATGCTGCCATGAATTCTGCCTCCCCGCTTTACACGTAACGGCGGTTCCGATGTAAACCTTAAACCCTGGCACCTCCTCGCGGTGCTGCCGCTGCTGCTGGGCCTTGGCCAAGTCGGCATCAGCGCGCCCGCCAGCCTTTGATGTGTGGGGCTCTCTGGAGGAAGCGATGCGTAGGGTGCTGCGGGTTCAGGACTTTGGCCTTGGGGATTCCAGAAAGTCTGGTTGTTCATCGATATTTGGGCTGCATTGGGCTGCGAAGTCGCCTCCTTGGCGAGCCGCAACTGGTGGCACCCGCCCTCAGCTTTCGCAACCTGCATGGGCTTCTCAGTGGCAACTCGATGAATGTCTGCAAGCAGCTCCACTCTGGAACTGTGCAGGTCCAGTTCAAAAAAACGACAATGTCGATCATGAACAAGGACGTTCTATGTGAAACTCGTCAGCTAAGGCCAACAGGGGCAGCAAATGGCAGCAAGGCAGGGCAACTTCTGGTACCTTGTTGGGGTGCTTATTCGAAGGGTATCCTACTATATGGGGCTCTAGGGGTCCCATAATGCAGAGGAGCATGTCGTATATTTCATGGATCATGACTTTTGAGCATCCCTTCCCTTAACCTCCTCAGCAGCCCGTGCAGCGGCGGAAGTGGCCAAGGCTCTTTGCTCCTCAAGGTCTGCCGGCTTTTGTCGAGGAAATGATGTATCTTGCGAAGATCACCGTCTCCACTTCATGTCTCGTTTTGTGTTTCCGGGTGCCCCCCCCTTTTCAGTCTGCCGACTGGCTCTCAAGTGCGCCATTGACGATGCAATGCGCACACCCCTGGCCAGAACCTCATGTGTGTGTCTTTAGCTTGTCCAAACAATCCTGTGATCGCCCATTGACAAATTGCTTCCCTGGATGCTTTATGATCTTATTGTTTTCCTATGTAACCCAGGTGCAGGCTTGTTGGTATTTAGCTATTTGTTCTGCTCCTTGTTGTTTGATGCAGTTGCGCTTCAGCGTCGTCCTGAAAGCACATCATGTTGTTGAAGCACTGCATGTCCAAAGCCATGCATCTAATGAATCCAGTCCTCAAACTTACGTCGCGCGAGATCCACCTTTGTTGCAGCATCCTCGACGCAGCGCCGCTCGAGGCCTTTGTACGATACATGGCTTCAAGCATTGTCGTAGAATCTCTTTTCGCCTGGCCAAAAAAATCAAACATCAAAAGCCCTCTCTGAGCATTCTACGGCTGGGACGAAGACCTGACCCGTTCTGGAACATACAATCTCCACTAGTGGCTGCCTTCAAGCCTTCGAGGGTTGCTGCGAAATCTGTGTCATCTTGCATCTGCTGGCGTTAACTTCGGTGCGGCCCCGCTGCGGCACAACTCCTTGAGCTGCGCTGCTTCCGGCGTGACCTGCAGGCCACTTGAACTTTTACATGTTTTTTTCGGTGCAATCTCGGTGCCATCCCCTTTGTCTGCACACCAGGAAAAAAAGTCGCGATTGGGCTGCTCGTGCCGTTTATTGACACTTGTAGCTGCCTCAAAAACAAGCACAACCCCGCCTCCAACACATGTGGCAGTGGCAAAGTCACCATGTCGGCCGCGGACTCCTCACTCAGCGACTACGCAGCGAGATGCCAGTCAACATGGATGAGGTCCACGAGTCACTCAGGAGCTACTCTGCAAGCAAATTCGACGAGTTGTTGATGGCACTTTTTCGTGAGTCGATGTGGCCGCCTCGGCCTCGAGCGAGCAGGTTTTCAAGCTCTTAAGAGTAACCAAAGCCCAACTGATCTTGGCCACAATGGTGCTTTTCATCATTGCGAGTCATGGGTATCCAGGGCAGCAGCAGCAGCAGCAGCAACAGTCAAAAGCAAGGCCCACACAAGGTCAAAAGTGAGACCCCAAAGAAGTCACAAGCGAGCGTGCTGCCAACTCCACTTGTTGAATACGCCGGTCTACAGTTGAAGCTGGCGGCCTCGGCTGCAAGTATTGCCTGCTCCTGAGGGCATCATGAAGACGAGTTCGTTTGGCAGCGTAAGTGTGTTTACAGGTGTTCACAGTATGCCAGGAACATGGTTCCTGGCTTCAGCATCCCGCCTTGCTCCTGAGCTCCGACTGCAGCTCCTCCTCCAGCCGCGACCTTTGGGACACGTCCTGGCATGCTTCAGCTTAGCCTCTTTCGAGGTACGACGCCCGGCAATAGCCCGAAAAATTCTCTGCGGGTGATTGGCGGGCAGTTGTGCGGGACAAGGAGCGCTAGGAGGACTAGTGGAGAGCGATGTCAAGGACAGCGAAATCGGGCAAGCCCACCCCCCCCCCCCACCCCCCCCCACCCCCCCCCAGCCCCCCCCCCATCCCCCCCCCCACCCCCCCCCCCTCCCCCCCCCCCCACCCCCCCGCGCCCTTTGACCTCTCTGCCCTTCCTCCCCTTTTTTGCGAAACCCTCTTTCCTCCTTTCCTGTCCTGGGGCCGGCCCGGCTGCCGAGGCGGCGCCCGCAAGCGTTTACAATTAACGATGTTAGAATGTTAACCGTTCCAAAAAAAATGCCGAAACTCCAGTCAGGCCGAATTCAACCCTGAACTGCGGAAGCCCTAACTGAGGGGCCACTGGTGCTTACATGCCCGTTCTTAGCTTGAGTTTCCCGTCAAGGCCTGCCGAAGGACAAGCACGGCGTCGGCCGCCGACCTCGGAAGAGAACAGCACCTGCTACTGGATGCCAATGCCAATGATCGTGCCAGCACTTCTTTTGGGGAAATTGTCGGCTCGATGCCTGTCTTAGATTCCAGCTTGTACTGCAGCTGCAGCTCGTGTTGTAGCTCCAACCTAAGGGCGAGCCCATCAGGCCGAACAACCCAACCACGTTCAGGTTCGATGACAGGACGTCAAAGGATCAGACTCTGGTGCGGTGCAGCAAATACACGTCAATTCAATGTGCGTAGTGTGACGCAGAAGGCCAAAACTTGGGAAGTGCAAAAGAGCTGCAGAGCTTCCATTCGTCTGGAAGTAGCATCCCTGCAATTGAAAGACTCGGCTTTTGCTTTGGAAAAGACTCTTAATAAAAGAGGCACACCTTCGCAAATGAGAAGAAGGTACTGTTTCCACAGCTAGCAGCCAGTGTGCAGTCCATCCAAGAGATCGAACCACGCGTCTCAGCTTAGAAAAATGCTGAGATCCAGATAAGCACTTGCACAGCCCCCATCTTGCCTCTGGCCGCCCTCCATTTGCGAAGAATCATGCAAGGAGACTGCTGACGAGAGCGACTGCCTGAACTCATTCGACAACAGCAGAAAGATTCCAGCACATCCTGCCGACCAACTTCTGGTGCCTTTGGGAAGGGACCTGCTGCTGGAGCATCTGGCAAAAGCCGCCGAGGTCCTGGCAACTCCGGAGTGGCTTCATGGGTTTTGGGCGTTTTGTACGGCGTTCCAAAGCGCCAAAAGCACCAATACCTTTAAGAGGGCCCATCTCCCAGAGCCGCCCGCCGGCCACTAGGGCGCACGGCCTCCAGAAATAACTTGCACAGAAAAATATATATAACTGGAGCCTACAGGGACATCCAGATTGTCGCAACCCCCTTCGCAAAAACGGATTCCTTGCCTTGTCCCCGTGCCTCCTAAAGCCTTTCACCACGGTGCTTCGGCCAATACATAAGGTGTTCGTTGCAAAAGCCAATGTAGGGAGCCACAGGTGCCTGCGAGTTGTGAGTGGAGGGTTGGCTGCAGACCAACGCACGCTCCCAAAGCACCGTGCCATAAACCCATAGAAAACCTGAACCCGAACATCTGGTTGGGAGCCCGAGGCGCATCCGTGTCGCACAAAAACGTGTGTGTGTGTGTGTGACCCATGTGTGTGCGGATCCCGAACTACCAAGGGTCACGTTGTGTTTTCCTTTGCGTTTTTCATTGGTTTTACCTTGCAAGCAAGGGGCTTGAGCCCTCCCCAGGGACGGGGGTTCATATCTTCACGTGGTCTACGGTTCCTTTCCGCACGTGGTTTTGCCTCATATCTGCACATTGTTTTGGATGATATTTGCACGTGCTTTCTTTCCAGATGCAGGATACACTGGCCTGCTCGTGCTTCAAGGGTTTGCCTTGGCCTGGAGCCTGCATGGTTTAGGGTTCATCCCCCTGAAACCCTAAACCCCAAGAACCCTAACTTAAAATCATAAACCCTAAACCATACAACCTGGACCCTAAACTGCCCTAAAGCCTAAACCCAAAAGCCGAAACAGCGGAAAGTATGCGGTTTAATGTCTCAGGATTTCAGCGCACATTCTTTAGTCCTCCACGTACGAATCTCATTTAAAAACCCTGAACCCTCGGTGGCAAACCCTAAACCCTTAAAGTCGTGCCCTGGAAACCCCAAACCCTCAAAGAAATGTTGGGCGACAAGATTGTTCCCTAAAACGCTGCGTTGGATGCAAAGCCCAAACCCCAAAAGGTCGCCAACTAAGCCGAAGAACCCGAAAAGAAGATGTTGTGTGGCAAACCCTACGAAACCCTAAACTCGAAAAGGTCCTGTTGGGCGGCAAACCCTCAACCTCAAAAGGTCTTGAGCCAATGCTAAACCCTATGAACCAGGCCAAAGAACCCTAAAAGAAGATGTTGAATGGCAAGCGACCCTAAAAGTAAAAGGCCATGTTGGGTGGCCCCAAGAACCGCAATCAAAAACCCTAAACTGCAAGCTTACCCCAACCACACTCCAACCCCTAGACCCTAAAAGGGCATGTTGGGTGGCAAACCCTCAGTGACACAGAGGAAAGCGAGACACACGCACGCACTCACGCTCACACACGTGCGTGCACGCATGCACGCAGAGACACGGGGACACGCAACCCACTGTGCGCGGCGAACCTTCACTTCGCGGAGGACCGCAGCCATGGCCTTGGAGCCTGCACTGAATCGCATGCTAGGCATGCTCAGACTCTACTCTACTCTGCTCCTACTCTACTCCGTACTCTACTCGGCTCTACACCACACCCTGCTCAATTTTGCTAAGTTGTGTTGCTCTCTGGCTGCACAATGTGACAAATTGAACAACTCTCAGTTGCCCTCTTGATGCGTGCGGATGTTGACTGCCTGTGGCTGCCGGCTCCCGGGCAGGCAGCATTCCAGAACACATCTCCATCACCTGGTTTGAGGGGGGCCGGCTGCAAAATGTGCAGAAATGCTGCCAAGGCAGCACTGAATCTTTCAATGGGCCTGACTCATGACGTCCAGCATGCCGGCCAGGAGCTTCGGATCGTGCGTCTCAGGCGGTTTTGGGGGCTTCCGCCTGAGCCATGACGCTTGACTGGGCTGTTCCCCTACCACCTCTCGGTCCATCTCGGCCAAGTTGCCCTGCCAAAGATCGACGCTTTGAACCTGCAGAAAGGTGCTGCTGAGAATGAGAACAGGAATGACACATGGAGATAAAGATGCCTGGAGGCTCCTTGACAGTGCTTGACATCCACTGAATGTACTGTCTTCTACTTTCAAGCGCCTGCCGCGGCTGCGAGCTCCGATGCAGCCTCGGCTTCGGAGCGCTGCGCCCGAGCGAGCTCCGTGTGGAAGGTCTGCACCTCCAGGCGAAAGCCGCGAGTTGCACAAGTTGCCCAAGGCCTTCCAAGGCCCCCAGCAAACGGCGCAAGCCTGGCCTCGGCTTGAAGCCGCGATGCTTCTCGCTGCCTGCAGGGCAGATCAACAAAGAAAGCCTAAGCGCGCTTCCGAATCCTTCCGAATTCACACCTCCCAACACATCCCGAGACTGGACGCCCTGGTACATATCGACCCGACATTTGAACACCGCACAAGGAAGAGAACACCGCCATGCAAAGCCGCTCCGCAGCTCCCGAATCAAAAGCGGGTGTCGGGAAGTGCCTCTCGATTCATCTCGAGAGATCTCAGTGCACTCTGGCCTCTGCTCGGCCTCTGCCAGCTCGGTGCGCTTGGAGGTCCAGAAAGCCTGGCAGTCAATGGCTCACCCATGGAAGACTGGAAGATGTGCTTGAGGCCAGGGTTGGGATGATTGCACCGATGAAATGCTTCAAGCCCTTCAAGCTTTCCCTTCAACATCTTATCAACCCCTGTCTGCTGTCTCCACTCCACTGCATACAATGCACACGAAAATTGACTTGGTGCTTATCCTGCTTTGCAGAAAGCTGGTCTGGATCAACGCATGCATAGATGAAAATGTGAGAAGCTTAACCCATGCGTTCCCCGACACGGTGTGACACAGCACGTCACGCAGCTGCAAACCCCGGAAAATTCGCAGACTGTGCAAAAGCGCGGCCTCTAGCACCCGTGGGGTTGACATGGAATGAGGCTGGCCTGGAACCTGTCCAGGTGCGGTGAGGGCTCGAAGGCTCTCTCAAAGGCTCTCAACGGCTTTTCGCAATGACTTGGGAGCCCGCAAAGGGTTGAGCTTTTGGAGGGCTTACCCAATAGCAGCCTGCACCACGACCCGTGCAAGGGCAGCGTTGGCCAACTCCAAGCCGTCTGCCCTGAGCTGCCTCATTCTTGGGCAAAGGTTGCAGCATACTGCAACAGAGATGACACATGTCTCAAAGGAAACTCAAAGGAATTGCAGCGAAGCAACGCGCTCTTGATGCCTTCAGACACCTCCCAGTGCACCAACTGCAGGCCCAGCAAACGCAGCACCTCCACAGAGCTCTCGGAGCTCTCGGAGCACTCACACGGCAACTCAGCAATTCTCCCCAGAAAACAGCTCCAAGCGCCACGGATCTCAGTCATCACTTCAAGCTTTGGTGACATTCTTGGTGGCCCCTGGGCCCAACTTTTCCAAACTCCAGATCTGGGAGGGGATCACAACTCTGAATAGCTGCATCAGCATCGCGCCTGCGCAGCGCGAAGAACGTCCTGCAGGAGGCAATATCCCTCTCAACCCTCCTTTGCGAAGCCCAGCCAAGCGCCGCCCAACAACCCTTCGAGCCCCAATCGTTTCAAAAGAACCGGGCCCTCAAAGAATCTCCAATGCCCATTCCACCTCCGCATCGCCATCTGCCGTTGGGACGCGCCCAGCCTCGCGTGCACGCCGCCAGGCCTCTTCCTTGGGACTCAAAGCTCGAGTCAGGCCGACAGGTACCTTGAAGTTTCGTCTTTCCCCTCGTCCTTCAGCTCTGAAACAAAAGCCTCCAAGCCCAAACTCTCAAGAATTTCTTTCATTACGTCCAGCTGCCACAGCCTCATCACGCCAGGAAGGCTCCAGGGTCCCAGCACAAGCCTTCGGTGATGTATAGGCCATGAGTGATTCTCCGCGGAGCCCGTTAGTTGGAGCGTGTAAAGCAAGCGCAAACCCTCCTTTGTGCCCTGTCGGCAAGAAACCCCACGTTGAATCCCCTACTGCCAGGGATGCCCCACTGTGGGATCAAGATTTTCCCGCATTCACGTGAATCTCAAAAGCATCAAAGGGGTCGCAAAAGTTTTCATAAGTTTTCGAAGCGCCTCGAAGGGCGCTCACCCTCCAGGCGGGCATCATCGACCCTGTCTTTTAACACCGGGCGGCCTATCACATCCAAGCTAAACGTTTCAAGGTTTGGGGGCGAGGAAAGGTACCGGAAGCCCAAAGCAAGGCGAGCATCATAAGCATCAGCGGCCCTGGCCCGTGCGGTCAATTAACGCCGAAAAGCGCTGGAATCATCGCAACTCATTACCGTGTTTTTATGTTTGATGACGATTGATGACATTCTCCATGCTTGCCTGCAACATCCTGCAACCATCTCCAACCCTACCCTTATTTCCCTTGCCCCCACAACGCGAGCATCATCGACACATGTCGACACCCTCATGCACAGGCCCGTGGCGCATATCATCCACCCATCGTTTCTCCCGTGGTCTCCCTGATATTCATGATGCTCGCCTTGGGGGGTGTGTGGAATCGCGTCAAATTGCACGATCATGGTGTCTTTTATGTTAGAAACTAGCGTGTTCATGCTCCGTTCTATCCACAGGTCAGGCTCGTTCATGCTCTTTCATCCATATGAGCATCAGCGGCCCGAACTTGGGGCCCGGAGCCGTTTTGGGATGCCGCGCATTTCCACTATTGGGAGCCGCCTTGTTACGCCGCACACGCTTTGGAGCCTGCAAGGCTGCCAGATGCTGCCAGCATTTCCGAGCACTTTGTTGGAACCCGCCTTGTGCCGGTTACACTTCCCTGGCTACTGCCATCAACTGCCTGCGCTGCCCGATCGTGGGCGCAGCCCCTTAAAAGTCAATGTTTCATATCGCTCGGCAAAACCGTGGGGCGCGAAAGTATAGCTAGCTTTCCTGGCAACGGCTCCAAGCCTCGTCGGCGGCAGCAGCCTCCCGCGCTCGCAGAGTTGCAACGGCGGCCATTCGCTGCGCCTCACGAGCAGACCTAGCATATCTTCGAGGGCGTTCAGTCGTAATTTTTTGATGGGCATCTAAGCATCTACACAAGCCTGGATTCGACCACAGCAGGGCATCAAAAGACGAGCCAAGCCGACGAGCCAAAGCCGAGTCACACTAGAGACACAGGGTGCAGAGCTCAGCCTCCAAAACCGGTTTTGCGTTGAGGGACGATGTCGATGATTAGCATTTGCATGTGAGCTGCTGTATGCTGCTGTCATCCATTAGCCAGCTGCAAAATATGTCGCACAAATCACACAATCGTCCTCATGCCTCAAGCTGCTCACATTGCTCTCGCGTCTCTTCCAGCTCAGAGAACAGCTCGCCAGCTGCTGCCTGACCGGTTGAATGTTACAGTACTCAAGCTCTCAGCCCAGTTCAGATCAGAGGGAGCCTAGCACCATGGACCCCAGCCCTGGCAAGCCTCCAAGCGGGCTCGCTCATGTGTCTCCAAACAGCTTGCCTGGACAATCACCCACAGAGCTGCGAGCAAATTTTGCAGTTCCATGCCCTCACACAACTTTAAAGCATAGGCGTAGCTCTTTACGGTCAACATACTCCGATGTGACGGCACCTCTTACTTTGCTCACCAATAACAAGACATCTTTTGCACCTCGTGGATGACCCATCATGCCGAAACCAACAAATCAATGTAATCTCAACAAAAAAATCTCTGCTTGGGCTTGGGTCAGTGGTCGACCTGATGGACATTGCGACAACAACTTGGTGCTTCCCCCGCCTCCTCAATCCTTGAGCGATCCCGGGCCTGAAGCCATCAGGGACCATTTTTCAAGTGGGTTTGGCGCTTCAACATGTTTGTGATCTGGGCCTGCCACACCCATGGAAAAGGACAAACCCAAAACAAGTCCCACGCCATTCCACTCCGTGCCTGTTCCATCTGTGACGCAACCACACGAGGAAAATGCCACATTGACGTTCCTGCTGCTGCTGGCTGAATTGGACCAAAGTCTAGTCAGTGGGACCGTGCAACGTACATGTCGGCTCCTCTAGCGGCATTCGCCTGCGCTGTTTTGCGATATCCTCAGTCACACCAAACCCGGAATCTTTGGATTGTCACCTGCTGTCTAGTCTGCACCCCTCACAATGTGAGATTCAGTTCGGCACAATCAGCCGTTATAACACTTAACCGTCAACCTACTGCACAACCAAACTTCACGCTTGGCACCTCGGGCGGAGTGCGGGGAATGGAGGCTAGGATGTCAGCGGCAGCACGCTTTGGCAACTCCATGTGTGCCTGCTGATCTTGCGGACGTTTCGCGAACACTTGCGGACGCTTGCGAACACAAAACGCGCGACGTTGGGTCACCTCAGCAGCCACAAAGATAGCCACCAGTTTCCGGCCCGAGCCCCATCATCCGACCCGGGAGGCAGAAAGGGAGCCGTGACGGGAGATCCCCATTTCCAGCCCCACGGCAGCGGCTGAGAACACCTATGTGTCTACCGAGTGAGTAGGTTGCTTACAAGCCAGGTGTCCTTCCGCCGCCACCGAGTTGCAGACTGCTCGGTGCTGAGTCTCTGCCAGGAGCTGCAACAAGGACCTCAGACCCGATAGAGCGGAGGGTTGAAGCCTCACCCTCGGCAGCGATCGTGCCCCTCAGAGAATTATGAGAATCTGGCCGGGGGGGGGGGCCAAGGGTGGGGGCTTAGACAATGTTAAATTGCACTTCGTCTTCGTTCCACTCTCATGCATGCGCTGCGTGCGGCGTCCACTGGCAAGAACTCGCAGCCTTGTGACCCTGCGACTTTGGCCACACTGTCATTCGCCTTCCGCGTTTGCTTCACCTTAATCGCTCATCTGAGAATTCTGACAGACTCGTGCCACAACTTCAATAGAACGAAGCTTGCTATGAGGAGCAGAGAGGATGCCGCGGCCGAACATGGCCGAGCGACAGAAGGTCTTGCCGCCGGAGAGTGTACGGCATCCCCGCGGAGCCTAAGAGGCCCGCAACAGCCCCCCATTCACAGTTGGAAGAGCAGCATTTGAAAGGTCAAAAGTAGGCAATTTCTACAAGGACACCGGCTCAAACCTCTTCACTTGACGCAAAAGACTGTCAGCCCACGGCGTGGACAGTGGCATGTGCTCACTTGCACTTGAACCCTGTACAAACCGCCACTCTCATCGAAAGTGCAACCAGCAGTTGCAGCTGCAACTTAAGGGAAAAAGAAAACCATGCACAGCGCAAACATGGTCTGTAAACACCAAAATAGTCTGCTGCAACCTCTTTTTTTGAAATTACATGGAATAGAATGTAGACATACAAATATCAATATACATATATTTTTCACAACCATGTCGTGTCCTTCTCAGTCATGGCTCTGTCGCAGGGTTTTCGCCAGTGCTGCCGGGAGCCGAGTGCCGCAAGTGCCGCAGGCAGCATCCTTAGAGCAGTTGACAAAAAGATACAAACGGGGCGTCAGGACATTGAGGACGACGGGACGAGCGCTGCACATGTTCGACTCCTTGCTGGAAAGGTTTCAATCTGACATGCCGAGGCAGACAAGCATCTTTCTCCTCTGCCCTCTCAGAAAGCAAACGCTCATGGTGGCTGCGGATCTCCAGCATCTCTTGCTGCCAGGCATGCGCGTCCCCCTGGGCTGCAGGCCGATGGCTGCAACGCTGGGCTGCACACGAACTGCTGCCCCAACTGCGCCAAGTTCCAGTTTTCCCCTTCGACTGAACAGAACTGACCTACTCATTGCACGCGCCCTAAACCTCCCTAGACGCGCGCAGCTACAGCCCTACAGCCATCTGCAGCTGGGTAAACCGGCAAGCCCTTGCTTGTGCTTTTTGAAACCGAAGTAAAACCCAAAGCCTTCTCCGCAACCTGTTTCTGCAGCGCGGCCACTTCCTGCATTGCAGCATTCTGCAGCTGGGGCTGGTGAATGTGTACTCAGCAGCTCTTGTGGCTTCGCCTCGCGAAGCTGCCCAGTCTGATGTTCGATGGCCACCATGTCCACCTGTCGCTTCAGATCAGAAATCGCATATCGCAACGGGGAAGCATAGCGTCGCCTTCTTTTGTCATGTCAACCTCGATGCTTGAAACACAAGCCCTCTGCATCTGGCACAGTTGCATAAAAAGGGTATGATGTGCAGATGCATCTAGCAGCATCTATCAAAACAATACTGCGACCTCATTTTTGGGTGCCACAGGCATCCGCCGCGGCAGCAGAGCCAGCAGGTTGGCCTGCAAGCGACGCACACACACACACACACACACACCAAAGCGAAGCGGAAAGCGAAAAGCGAACTCGGAAAGTGGAGCGGGCCGCTTCGAGAAGTGGTTTACAGAGCAGAGCCCTCAGGTGGCCTTTGTAGCGGCTCTGCTCGCTTCCCCTGCCGCTGCGGTTAAGAACCCCAGCCGGGCCTGCTGCCGAACAAATTTGCCAAAACATGAATAATGTTGACATGGAGCGCAGCCGCAAGCAGACACCGAGCTTGCAAGATGATGCAACATTTTTGGCTGACATTGCTTGCACCTGCTGCACGGCATCTTTAGCTCGGAGTGTCTCCTACCCAGCTCAGGCATTGGAAGCATTGCAACAACCAAACATCCCCATCTGGGCCCTATGAAAAAAGGGATGTTGCTCAGTCATAGAGGCTCCCGGCGGCCACAAAGCTCGGCCAGGAGGTGTGGAGCATCCTTTGCCTCAAGATGCCAAGAGTTGAGGAGCACATGGCAAACGCTGCACGGGATGCAGGGGCACCTGGGCTTCGATGAGGCAACGAGCCACAGCCAACTCCTCCCGAACCTCGGCACGATCCTGCGCCGACGACGTCAGACCCACAACGCCAGAGGAAAGAGACAATTAAAGGGTCAAGTTGATGTTGCATGGGCCTTTTATTCACAAGCACCCCCTGTTCCTCCACTGCCTCCTGCAGCTGCAAAGTCCTTGCCTGCTCATTGCCTCGGCATGCAGCACGTCGCAAACACTGGTTCCTTAAGGGGAGTAGGGGTGGCAAAACCAAAATTAGGGCTTCGTGCAGAGGGATACCTGATGCAGCTCACCGCCCTGATAACCATCAGACCAGAAGCTTGCAAACCTTGAAGCCCAGATCCAGAAGAATCTTTTCATTGTTGCGGCAAGGCTTTCCAGGCCATTCCACATACACATTGGAAACGTAGTTTGAGATCACTACCGGGATCGTGTCCTGAAATATCTTCAACTTGCGACCCATCTTCGTAGGATTTCGTAGGGCTGTTAGCCGCATGGGTGAGTATTGTGAGTTCATACCGGCTGCTTCCGCAGCGTTTGTAAGACCACGACGTGTCGGCTTCTGGCGACTTCACGGCTTCATCTACTTGGCAGCCAAAGCACCGCGAGCCGTTGCTTTGACGCGCTCCTGAACAAGACTTTTGGTGTAAAGCACGCTTCAACTTAACCAACTCAAGGAGATGTACTCTAATAACTCTAATGTAACATCTCAAATATCACACATCTTGAATGTTCGCAAAATGCAAACTGCGTGCTCAAGTCGGGACGGAGGCTCGGAAGACTCCAAGGATGCCAAGGATGTCCGAAACTCGCTGGCCGCTTCCTTGACTGGAAGCACGGCGCCTACTTTGACCTTTTGTGACATATTGGTAGAAATGTCACTAGCACCTACTGAGTTTCGATATCTTTGCAAAAAGTGCTGTCTGCCCCGAGATGTCCTCCAGAAGGAAGAGGTCACGCAGAATGTTCTCGTCCTTGCAAAGGGGCCATCTGTGCATGACCAAAGGACTCATCAAAGGGGCACGAAGGGCCCGCGTCTTCTTCTTGCTTTCCTAACTTGCCTTTCTTTCAAACTCCGTTTTTGAAGATCCTTCAAGCGTCTGCCCCTAATTTTGTTGCATCTGGATCTGCACCGAGCAACCGCACGATGCCGACGTGCTCGGTCCGTACGGCAAGTGGCCTCCAGGACACGGACTTGCTCCTGAGACCGGAGCATTCAGAGGGTTGACTTTGGTGACTCATACTGACAAATACTGATGACTCATTCAATCATACTCGAATCACTGCTGATTGCTGCACGTTCTGCTCCTCATGTTCGTCTCGGCGAGATCGGAGCCGGGTCAGCACCAACATCTCATCCACAGCAGCTGCATCGCCCTTGCCTTGCAGCGACATTGCAGCCTCCGAGACGAGCTCAGACTTCACGGCAGCCATGTTCAGCTCGTGCTGCTTCACGGCTTCGAGGATGTTCTCCAGGTCGGCGCTAACCCTGGCCGAAAGATCTGGGCCTGCACTGGCTCTCTTGCCACTCGGCAAGCTCAAGTTAGCAGCAGGTGGCTCCGGCGTTCGCGGACTGCGGCTGGTGCTTGAAGGCAGCTCGAGCTCGCTTTGCTGCAGGAGTTCGGAAGCACGGCGCGCTGCCATGTCAGCCTGCAGCTCTGCACGCACCAGGTCTGCCTGGCGATGTTGCAACATCTGCCGGAGCTTTACAATCTCAGCATCCGATGCCGTAGCGCCTTGGCTGTGGGGCATCGCCAGCATCTCAGGACTTTGCTTGAATCCCTGCGGTTGAAGAGCTGCACACACCCAGCACCACATTAACTTAAGGATCCCATCTGAAGCTTCGCTGCCAAAACACCGGTAGCCTCCACGTGACACCACACCACTGCTTAGGGACAGCTCAGTGCCAGGACACGAGAGCTGGCCGCCTCGATGCGGGCACGGCGCTGTGCCAGCGCCAGCTCCGCTGCCTGCAACAGCTGCAATGCACACAGAAACAAAGAAGAAGCCAAGAAACAAAACCAAATCTTCCACATCTCTTGACCGTTTCACCCATCACAATGCCCCAATGCCTCTCGCCTCCGCCTGTTTTTGTGCGGCGCTGCGCCGGTGCCGCAGAGACCGCGCCTCCTCGGCGAGGACCTTCGATTCGATACGGGAAGGGGACGTAAGGGTTTAGGGGGCGGGGAAGGTTTCGGTATGCGTTTTGTATAGGGGCTTAGTATTTTCATCTAATTGAAGGATTTGGACCTCCACAGTTTCAAAACACAAGCTTTCTCAACCGTTCAATGAGGAAATCGCACCGCAGAGAATCCGAATTCCATCTGACGCTAGGCAGACGTAACACTGGGCAAGTGAAGGAAACTCGGGAGCCACTTTTCGTTGAGTGCTGGGCCTCTGGCCAGGGTTTGAGGGCTCACTTAAGGGTCGGGGCTCTCAGCATCAATGGAGTGGCAGTTTCCAAAAATATTTTACAATCATGTCGAACCAGGAGGCCAACAACGAGCAAAAAGGAAGTGGTAAGCCCCGTAGAAAACCAAACAGAACAGGCATTTCGTTTGTAACTTAATAAACGCGTTCTCTTCACGGAAATAATAATAGAGAACGCACACTTCGTTCGCACAATAATAATATTAACCACGCGTGAACTTGCGTTAATAATATAATTGCTCTCACTTAGCTCTCTTAATGCATCAACTGTGTGAACAAAGTGAACACGCTGAGAACGAAGTCACCAGGCTGCTACCAAAGGCTTGAGTTCTACATCCAAGTTCTCAAGGTCTTGTGTCCCAACTTTACAGATGCTTCCTTGTTTCGTTCGGTCGCTCATAAGATTCATGCATTCGTAAACTACTTATCAACGTACGAATATACCTGTGGACAACAGCAAACGGCAAAGCTACTCCAATTTTTACAAGCCTGTTCCACAACTTAAGAAATCCGAGTGCCTCTCGTCACCTGCAATGGCTAAACCCTCAACCCTCAACCCTCAACCCTCAACCCTCAACCCTCAACCCTCAACCCTCAACCCTCAACCGTCAACCCTCAACCCTCAACCCTCAACCCCACTGAACGCCCCTCAGAATCCGCCTGCTCCCGAAACCCGCCTCGGTTCGCCTGTCGGCTTCCCAGGCTTCGGCCACCAGCGCCTTCGCCTGCCCCGAGTGGATTTGGGGATGTTTGTAAACATGAACTCGAAAAGTACCAAGGCTCTAAAGTTTCTCGGCTTGGGGTGGCAAAATTGTTGGTCTACGGATTTATGGGATAGAACAGTTCGCATTTCAGGGAGTTGGGAGCACTTTGCATCGACTTGGCAAAGACCAGCCTCAGTGGCCTGCTGTCCTGCTCTCCCGTGCATGTTTTGGCACATGTCCAGCATTCTGAAACAATGAAGACTGTCATGAACATGCTGCATGATGTGTAAGAGAACATGATGCAAACCAAGTTGTAACGCCAAGAACTCTAGAAAAAACGCTCTTCACACGCCCTGCTGCTAGTCAACGCACAAGCAAAAAAATGAAATGCTGTGTTGCACGCAAGAACAAAAGTATATTGCGGGGGGGTGATGCCACTCTTTGCTTATCAGCAAGTTGAACCGCCAAAAAACTATCGTCCGCGAGTGAACGGGAACAACTACACAAGCACAATGGGCCCGTGCAGAAGCTAGAAGATGCCTTCACAGAACCCAGACTGGCCCATCGCCATCCAACAGTGATGCACCCGGGCCCTCTTCGCCTCTTCTGTGGAGGCGGCGCGTGCAGCAGCCGCTGCTTGGCGCCTCGAAGTTCCGCTGATGCTGGTTTCTCCACAGCAGAAACAACACATCCCCTGCGTTACAGATCCACCCTTTTGGGCCGCCTTTCACGTTCCGCAGCCTGCACACGATCCTCCGCATTGTGGGCTCGGCACCTGGAATCTCACTTCATGAACTTCTTCTTCGGCTGACTGGTTTGGCTCAACCATCCCCTCCCCCCCCTGCGAATTGCTGGTACAAGCCACTTGAGCGCAGCAGCCTCCTCAAGGGCCTGCGCGATACCATGGTTTTCGTGCTTTCGTCGCAGCCATCTTGCACGCTTGATCATGTGCAGACATGTTCTACAATGCACGATGCAGTTAAACATCTCGTGGGATTTGCTTTGCAGCTGGACCACAACACAAGACCAGCACAACATCAGCCTGCTTCAAGGCAGCGCTGACGAACAACCCCGTCCCAGCTTGCAAAGCACCTCGTTCAATTGTTCTTCCAGGCTGTCGATGACTGCATCCTGCAGAATGCGTTCCTAAATTTCGAACGAGCTGTGCAATATGCATGCTTTGCACAAGTCAACTTCCCAACCACCCAGACCCAGCCTTCACCTCCAAGATCACAAGCGCTTTAGAGCTTTGTCTCTGTGCCTCGCGCTGCCTCAGTGGTCTGCCCAACCTACAGTAACGCAACTTTCCCTACGTTCGAAATCAGGCACAACGATTCCATCCGCAACGCTGTGCCTGAGCTCCGAACAGCCGGAGCTCCTGCGCCAACTTCCGGCTCTGGCTTTCCATGGCCAACAGTTCTCGAGACATGGTCACATGGTCAAAGAAGAACCGAAAAATGTAGGATCAACCCTGTGGACACAACTCACAACGTACGGCAACAGACAGATACTTCATCGGGTAAGCTACGAAAAGTACAGACCATGCATTTTGGAACCTGCTTTCTGTGCCTTGTGCATCGGGCTCCCCCGAGGCTCCAACACTTCTACTGCTTTTGAGCCCATGTTGAAGGCTTGGGGTTTGGCTTGTCGCTTGTTCGCTAAATCACAAAGATCCGGACATGCACTCTCACGAAGCACGCTTTAGAGTCCGCATGAGACTACAAGCGGCAATTTGTGGCTCACATCAGTGCATTACCCTGGGCAAGCCGCGCAGATTTGCAGGAAACAGCTCATAATGCCAGAAAACAGCTGATATTATGAGGAAACAGCAAATAATACCTGGAAGCAAAGAATCCCAGAAAACAGCGAATCATACTAGAAAGTAGTTAATGCCAGTAAGCAGCCAGGAAGCAGCTAGAAAAAACCGGTTCACCGCCAATAACACCAAGAAACAACAATAATAGCAGGAAACGGCTAATCATACCAGGAAACAGCTAATAATGCCAGGAGACAGCCAAAATACCAGGAAACAGCAAAAAATGCCAAGAAACAGCTAGTAATACCAGGAAAGAGGTAATGGCCCGGCTAACAATGCCACGAAACAGCCAATAATGCCAGGAAGCAGCTGATACACCAGGAAACAGCAAATAATAACAGGAAACAGCTAATCATACCAGGAAACAGCTAATACTACCTGCAAACAGCTAAAACTGCTGGGAAACAGCTAAAAAATCCAGGAAACAGCTAATAATGCCAGGGAACAAGCTAATAGTACCAGGAAACAGCTAACAATAACAGGAAACAGCTAATAATACAAGGAAACAGCTAATAATACCAGGAAACAGCTACTCATACCAGGAAACAGCTAATCATAGAAACAGCTAATAGTACCAGGAAACAACTAATAAAACCAGGAAACAACTGCTAATACCAACAAACAGCTACTAATACCAGGAATCAGCTAATAATACCAGGAAACAGCCAATAACCCAGGAAACAGCTAATTATTCAAGGAAACAGCTAGTAAACAGGATGCAGCTGATACTTCCAGGTAACAAATAGTAATACCAGGAAACAGCTAATAATGACAGCAAACAGCTAGTACCACCCCGGAAACAGCCAATAATACCAGGAAACAGCTCGCAATAACAGGAAACAGCGAATAATTCCGGGAACAGCTAGACTACCAGGCAACAGCTGAAAACACAAGGAAACAGCCAATAATGCCAGGAAACAACCAATTCCACCAAAAAACAGCTCACACCACCAGGAAACAAAAAACAACACCAGGAAACAGCTCATAATACCAGAAAAAACAGCAATAATACCAGGAAACCACTAACAACCCCAAACAGCTCACAGTACTTGAGGAAACATGCAATCATTCCAGGAATCAGCAAATAATGCAATCATCTCTAAAGAGCTAATGAAACCAGACAACAGCTCATAATCCGTAAAACACTCAAGAAGGCCAGAAAAACAGTCTTCTTTCCTTCTTCCCTGCCCCCGCTTGCCTTCCGTCCTTTTTCAAAAACCCAATTCTGTTGCAAAGTGCGATCAAAACAAAATGAGTGCCGCAGCTGATGGTGGTAGAACTTCTAAGAAAATGTGCAGCCTCTGTGCGATGAGCCGCAGACCTTGAACTGGACGCTGCAAGAACACAGATGGATTTCAAAGGGAACTTAGCAGTGGAGATTGGAAAGACGGCTCTTAAATATGGAACAGTGAAGGTGATTTTCAGTGGTAGAGTTGCTTTTTCTGGACCGAAGTTCACAGGTGCAAAACTGCAATTCTGCGGGACTCGCTGATAAAGTTAAGCACCTGGAAAGACGGCCTGGCCCAAGGCTGAATGAAGAGAATTTGATGTGCTTCGCGCCAAAGCACAACGCTGAAACTGCTTCTTGACCGGTCAAGAAGATACTGGATAAAGGAAAGCAGCATGATTGGCGTCACTGGCACATTCACGTGCTTGCTGTGACCCTCGTAAGCCGTATTCCCATCGTCCTGTTCATCCTGTTGCGTACAAGAAGAAGAGCGTTGCACGAACCTCTGACAATGAACTTGGAACTGTTGCAGTCTTGACCACGTAAACGTGTTTACACCTGCAATGGCCACCATTACAACAGTTCGCTTTTTCCAAAACTTGCATTGTGGCAGCTGGACTGTGGTCCATAAACTGATCTAACACAAGTGCTCTGTAAATTAGCTTTTTTTCTGATGAAATGCGCAAGTAACCGCCGCCATTAAAGGCGCTTTGTTTGCTGGAGTGCCCCAGTTTTGGCTGATTGAATTGGGCGCTTCAGGTTTTGAGTTCCCTCCAGAATGCCAGCCCGGAAAAGCGGTGCCACCGCCGGCCTCTAATGGGTCTAATGGGGTCTGGCTGTAAGGCCAGTCATTGAAGTGCATAAAGGGTAAATAGACTGCCCAGCCGCACAGAAAGCCAAGGAAGACCTTTTTGGTCAAAGGCCAAGCTCAGACCACTCAAGGTGGTGGCTGCGGGGCAACAGACAGGCTTGCGCAACTCCTCCTTATTCCAGAGATGCCTGTCGGGATGGGTGCTTCCACATGCCGTGCCATGGTGGCTTTGGTTAAATGCCACATCGTCCGAATGGCCTCCTGAACTTGCTATACTGCACAGCACCTTCGTTCTGGGACTGGAAGAGAAAGGGGAGAGGGCAGTTACAAGAGCCGAGAGCTCAGACTTCTTGGAGTTGCCGTGGCAGTACATTTTACACCAGAAGCTGTTGAGGCGTTGCTTGGTTGGGTGCTTGGATCGGATGAGCCCCTTAAGGGCTGCCCAAGCGGTGGCAGCATCATACCAAGCAGGCCGGGGCGCGTTGGGCCCCATGTCCATTCGGCGTTGTGCTCAGTCCTGATGAGACTTCTTGGCGAGGTGCGCTATGGTCTCCACGGACCTGATCAATCTTTTTCCGAAGCAGCCGCAGTTCGAAAAACAACTTGTCAAAAAAAGGGAGGCAAAGCACAAGTTGGTGAGAAACCATCAACTGGTGCTGTTACAATGCCAAGAGGCACCTGAAGTGGACGCCAGCTGTGACAATCCGCGTCCACTGCCGAGGCGGCTCGGTTCCCCAATGCAGAGAAAACCACTTCTGAATTGGAAGCAGGTTGAAAAGCTTCCTCTTTCAAATTCATTGAGGAGACGACGTTAAAAGTGGTCAAACGAGCCGGACGCGACGTGACAATGAGAGAAAAAAATTTCTTCTCGAGGCGCGACGCCAGCCAGGCAGGATCGGAGAACCTTCACGAAGGGGGTCTTCAGTTATGAAGGGGGCTTCATCCTCCCCTTCGAAGCCTTCGAAGCCTTCGAAGTCTTCGAAGGCCAAGCGCCCCTCTTCGTTCTCACCTTCGAAGCCTTCGAAGCCCCCTTCGTCCTCCCTTCGAAGCTTTCGAAGCCCCTTCATTTTTACCTTCAAAGCCTGGAGAATTGGGGGGAGGAAGGGAGAAGAGAGAAGAGAATGTGTTCTAATCCACCCCCCTCGAATCTTTTTGGTTGTTCGTATTTCATCTTTCGAAAAAATCAGAGAGAAGAGAGAAGGGAGTAGTTTGATGAGACGGAGCCTTCGAAGCCCCCTTCGTCCTCGCCTTCGAAGCCTTCGAAGCTCCCTTCGTCTTCACCTTCGAAGGCTTCGAAGCCCCCTTCGTCCTCACTTCGAAGCCTTCGAAGCCTTCGTCCTCACCGCCTTCGAAGCCTTCAGACCTTCACCTCCCCCCCCCCCTCCGACCTCCCCTTGCCCTTCGGCTTCGAAGGCTTCGAAGCCTCCTTCGCCATCGCAGCCGCGGCGGCGACCGCCGCGCATGGCGTCGCACCTTCAAGGAAGAGCTGCGCTGCCAAGAACTCTGGCGTCGCGTCTCTTTAAGCAAGCACCGCCCAGTGCCATGGCCAGGAATGCGCCTGCCCAACCTCGAATCCGACTCGAGCGTCAACAGCAAACGTCCAATCCGACTGCGGCCCCCCCCAGCAACAGAAGAGCAGTTGGGCAGAAGCGTTGAACATGGCTAACAGACAGAGCGGTCAAAGATGCACTGCCGCTCTCGGTCCTCTCACCCACTCACGTCCATTCCAAGAATTCACATGGAATTCTTCGTGAGCTTGGAATGCGGAGACTTGTGGCAACATTTGTGTGAGCCAGCTTGAACTTGCTGAACTACGCCTCTGCAAGGTTCCGTCATACAAAGAGCCCGTCTGGCCCAATTGCTTGCACGCCTTTGCTGAATTGGTGGCTGCTGCTACACTCCAAGC